CTGTTGCGGAGTCACTCATGAACATTGCCGCTGCCGATCTAGTTGACCGTCTCAGCCACGTGAAGCTCTCCGCCAACTGGATGTCCGCTAGCAGCCACCCAGGTGAAGGCGCCGCCATCTATGAAGCTGCGGAAGCTATTGGAATGGACCTGTGCCCCAAGCTTGGTATCAGCATTCCTGTCGGAAAGGATTCTATGTCCATGAAGATGAAGTGGACTGATGAAGCCTCCAAGGAGGCGAAGGAGGTTACTGCACCTATGTCTCTTGTCATCTCTGCCTTTGCACCGGTTGGCAACTACCGCAAGACCTGGACTCCCGCTCTTCGTCGGCTCGAGGATGTCGGTGACACCGTCCTTATGTTCGTCGATCTCTCCTTCGGCCGTAAGACTTTGGGAGGCTCTGCTCTTGCTCAGGTCTTCAACCAGGTTGGTGACGACTGTCCTGATGTCCGTGATGTTGAAATCTTCAAGGACTTTTTCGATGCTACCCAGCAGTTGCAGGACGCGGGCATTGTCCTGGCCTACCATGATAGATCTGATGGTGGTCTGTTCACCACTCTTGCAGAGATGATGTTTGCCGGCCGTTGCGGTGTTGAGGTCATGCTCGATAACATCTGCCCTAGCTCCGGCACGAAGGATGTTGTGGAAACGCTGTTCACTGAAGAGCTTGGAGCTGTGTTCCAGGTCCGCAAGGAACACGAGATGCAGTTCCGCTCCTGCTTTGCCACATGCGGCCCCCCTGCTGGCCTGATCCACAAGATTGGACGTGTTTCCGAGAGAACTAAGCAGAACCTTGCCATTTATCACGGACACACCTTGGTGTATCGCAACAACCGTGCCAACCTTCAGCAGACCTGGTCCAGCACTTCGTACCATATGCAGAAGATGCGTGACAACGCTGCCTGTGCTGATCAGGAATATGCCAACATTCTCGATGATGTTGATCCAGGTCTGTCATGGAACCCAACTTTCGACCCCAAGGATAAGGCGCTCCCTATGCTCACCAGCTTGACCTCGATGTCTCCTTTCAGCAACAAGCCTCGCGTGGCTATTCTGCGTGAGCAGGGTGTGAACAGCCAGGCTGAGATGGCTTTCGCTTTCAACATGGCGGGCTTCTCCGCCGTCGATGTCCACATGACCGACATCATCTCTGGACGTGTGTCTCTCGCCAGCTTTGTTGGTATGGCTGCGTGCGGTGGTTTCTCTTACGGTGACGTCCTTGGTGCTGGTCAAGGCTGGGCCAAGTCTGTCCTCCTGCACGAGAACACCCGTTCCGAATTCCAGAGCTTCTTCGAGCGCCCTGACACCTTCGCTCTGGGTGTCTGTAACGGTTGTCAGTTCCTGTCTCGTCTGAAGGACTTGATCCCCGGCGCTCAGAACTGGCCCAGCTTCGAGCGTAACGCCAGCGAGCAGTACGAAGGCCGCGTCTGTATGGTCCGTGTCTCGGACCCTGATCCCTCCAGACCCAGCGTCTTCTTCCACGGCATGAACGGCACCTCGCTCCCCATCGCTGTCGCCCACGGTGAGGGTCGTGCCTCCTTCTCCCCCTCTTCCAACGTCACCGCCCAATCCTTCGTTCAGGAAGGTCTGGCTCCTGTCCAGTACGTTGACAACGCCACCCTCAAGCCAACCATGAAATACCCCTTCAACCCGAACGGCAGTCCCGAAGGTATCGCCGGTATCCGCAACGCTAACGGCCGTGTACTGGCCATCATGCCTCACCCCGAGCGTACCGTCATGGGCGGTATCGCCAGCTGGCTGCCCGCCAAGGCCCAGGAATGGGGTGACATCGGCCCCTGGGGCCGTGTCTTCTACAGTGCCAGAAGATGGGTCGGTTAAAAGTTTGATGAAATTATTCTTCACTTTGGTAGCTGAAACTGGACTGTCTATATGCTTGGTCATATGGTCTGTATATGTGGGATGAGTCATCCCTAAAAAGAAAATCTATTTCCGTAGAAATTGGTTGTCATTGCGACGTCTTTCTATATTCTCCCTGATTTGGGATGTTCCAGGATGGAATTTTGATACGATGGCATGTTTTGGTAAATTATAAATGAATTCAGGATTTCTTATTGTTCCCACTTTCATCCTGTTCGTGGACTTCTCCTTTCTTCATGACTTGATCCTCAAGCCGAGAATCTCAAAGTAAATATTACGATAAAAAGGAAAAACAGTCATAGTACACATTATCATAACCCAGGGAACAATATTCATGCATGATCCGCCGTCCGCTCCTTCCTCCATTCCAACCGCTCAGCCAAAATCTCCCAGCTAACCTGCGCATTAGCACGACCTACGCCCTTCAATCCAGCAGCCAGGAAACCGACAAGTTGATTAAACTGATCTTGGGTTGCTTTCACTTTTTGTAGGTGTTGTGTGTCGTGAACTGGGGTCTGTCTATCGTCGTGTTCAGGTTCCTCGTCTTCTTCTTCGTCTTCATCACTCTGATCTTTGTCCTGGCCGTATTTTTTCTGCGCAGAGTTGATCTGGGTATAGCGAGTAGATTGGAGATCGGAGAAGGAGACACAAAGGTCAAGGAGGGAGATAATTGCTTCGTAAAGAGGGACAAGGTTTTGGGAGAGAAGGCATTGGTCTTCTAGTGAGGACATGTAAGACTGGTGGACGGATACCATTGTGTCGACGTCATTGCAGGCTGAGAGATCCTTGCGGAGTGAATTAGTGGTAGTTGAGATGACGAAGTCGGTCATGTGGCTGTATAATGTGTTGAGGAACCAGAGCATGTTATGTCGGAGGGCGTAGGCCTGGGCGTTGTTCCTAGTCTCGGAGGTTTGGGGGGAGTATTGTAGACGTTGCTTGACGATTGTGTGTTTTGCTCGGCGGATTTGCATGAGGAATGTCGAGAGGCGTTGGTAGCTTAGAATGGCGTCTTTTGTGATGATGTTGGCTACGGGCCAGGGGAGGATGTAGTCGAATGAGATGGCTTGGAGGAGCTTGACGGAGCGGCTGTGGGTGTTTTTTTTGTTGGTGGGGTCCTTGGATGACCGGACTATTACTCTGGATGGGTCGATGAAAGGTAAGGCGCTGAATGCGCTCTGGGCAAGTTCGGTGAGCAGATATCGGTCGTCCCAGGCTCCTCTGCCTCGATCGATAAGGTCGAAAATTTTATGGTCGATGGGTCCGAACACGCTCATGTCTTTGCAATGGTAGATATGCTCCAGCGCCTGAAGGGAGACCCCTAGCCCACACTGCTGATCAAGCTCTCTTCGCAACAGTGATGATGTGAAGGAGTGGTTCTCATCTACTATTCGCCCAAAGGCCGAGTCGAGTAATGCTGAGAACGGCATGTAAATGGAGGCAGCGTCTTCCGGGAATACGTCTCCTAGCGTTAATGAGCTCTTTCTTGCGTGCGCCTCGTCCTCCGACACATCCAAGTGTCGTAGGAAAACCATGCTTTTGCCTGCAACGAAAATCTTGCGAGCGATGGGTTGAACAAACTTCGGCGCACTTGAAAACCATGCTGATTCATCCAGCGTATACCATCCATGCCACAGGGTTCGTAGGTCTTGGTCGTTATTACGGTTGTCGCGGATGAAAAAGGAGCCCTGAAGAGATTCCTCTAACTCTCCCTTCTCCATCCAAAGGCGAATTGGACGTGCGTAAGTTTCGAAGCACGCAAAAAACAGTTGAGCTAGGAACTTGAACTCATTTTCGTCACCGGTAGCTTGTGTCATGCAGACCGAGTCGTAAAGGAGATCAAGACAGCGTACAGGGCTATCCGATGCGTCATGTTTGAGATTGGATACAATTTCTGCTAACAAAAGAAGCAGCTTTGATTCACGGAGAACGCTCTCATATAGCTGTAGAAGACTGACCGCAATAGTTCCGGATTGCGATAAGTACTGTGCCTGCACATTAGACAAAAACCCGTCAAACTCGCGCAGGCGATCTTCGATGCCCCGGTGGAACGTCTGCAGGTAAGGAATGACCCGCGGGACTTGGTGGTATCGTCTTAAGATGTCTATTTTTGACCCAATTGAGCAAAACGAACGTAGCAATGATGATAGCGTTTCACTTGATAAATGCGCCAGCGAGTATTTTCGATCTACCTCAACGCTTTCATGATAACGCCAAAATAAGGATGTAGGTAGGCCTTGTAGCATGAATATAGTCTCTCTTACAATCTGAAGCTCTGTGAGAACTTGAGAGGGTTTGCCTCGGTGCTGTTCAGCGTCGGGACTGGTTTCATTTCGCCAGAATTGGGCGCTTTTGATCGAGACCACAAGGTCTTCATCTTCTCCTGAAGAAAAGAGGTCCTCTGGAATCACGTAGTCCTCTTCTAGGGCTATGGAGGTTTGAGGTAAAGATCGTCCATGATAGCTCTCACTTGATACGGATGAGAGGTCATCCTCGGAGGACCCAGCGCCGAAGTCTACAGATTCCCATATATCCTCCTCGGAATACGCGGTTCCAGCAACATCTAAATCTGTCCACGAGAGGGATTCCACATGCGCTTGAGGCTTCTTGAGACTCTCAATGCGATCTACCTTAGACAGCTGAGCAGGACGATCAGCAAGCTGCAACAATAACGATAGAATCTCCGGGAAACATGAATCCCGGTGTGCATTTAACTCGGTGAGACGGGCGCGGAGAGCGTCTGCTAAGTCATCTTTATTGAGAACCTGGAACTTTTCTTGAAGTCCCTCTAGCTGGTGCGCAACCGCAAACTGGTCCGTACGGCCATGAGCATTCGCTCTTAGAGTATCTTCGGTACGACGTTTCAAGACTTTGAAACGGGGGTTTCTTTTATCAACCTTGGCGACGGTCGCAACCAACTCGTCGGTTAGCGCACTAATACTGGCGGGGATGGCCATGACGGTTGATTGGAGGGGTTATTCTGCAGAACTAAGCCAGCAGCTCGCGCACAGATTCCCCATTGCCCATCACCACGGAAGGGGACGTAAGTGTAAGTTTAGATATTAGTAGTAGAATTGCGACAGCTTTTAGGTGGAGGGTTACGCGGCGTTTGTACTGATTGGCGGCGGTAGTTGGACGTGTTGCTTGAGTCGCCACGCTAGACCCTTTGGGGGAAAAGGCGGCATCGAGACCTCCAGCGAAGTCTCTCCTATACCAACTCGATTCCTTATCTGTTTTTCTCTCTCCTTCCTGCCTCTTGCTTGCTGCCGTTGTTTCGCACTCAGTCAAAGTCAAGATGGCTGTCGCAAGACCCATTCGCATGCTGGGTGCGTCATGCATTATCCTCATCCTCTTTCTGATCTTTCAAATGAACAAGGGACCTACTAGCATCATTAGTAAGGGGCCCAAAGGGGAGTATACCGGCATACAAAACGACCCCCTCAAGGAGCGTATGTTTTACCCGTCCACCTCTCCTTGGCTGTCGTGTATTATACGTACCGTGCATATCCGAGGCTGACAGAACAACTTCTTCTTCTTCTTCCTCACAGCGACCGGAGAACCCGAAGGACATTTATGGCGAGCTGACGAGCACGATTATGCCCCCGACAGTGCCAACTCCGCCCGGACCAACGCGGCGCTCATCTCTCTCGTCCGGAACGAGGAGCTGGAGGAGTTGATTCCGACCATGCGCGATCTGGAGCGGACCTGGAATAGCAAATTTAATTACCCCTGGATTTTCTTCAACGACAAGCCGTTTACAGAGGAGTTCAAGAAGCGCACACAAGCGCTGACCAAGGCGAAGTGCCAATATGGTATGAAGAATGGAAACCATACGTATTAGACGATCGGTCTAACTATACTCAGAGCAAGTACCGAAGGAACACTGGGATGTCCCCGATTGGATCAACATGGACCTCTTCCGCGAGTCCGCCGAGGTGTTGAAGGAGCAGGGCATTCAGTATAGCGACAAGGTATCCTACCATCAAATGTGCCGCTGGAACAGTGGCCTGTTCTATCAGCACCCGGCGCTGAAGAACTACCGTTACTACTGGCGTGTCGAGCCCAAGGTTCAGTTCTTCTGTGACGTTGATTACGATGTGTTCCGATTCGTAGAGGACCGCAACATCACATACGGTTTCACCATCAACCTTTTCGACGCTCCCCAGAGTATCCCAACTCTCTGGCCCGAGACGAAGAAGTTCCTTGCCGCAAACCCCACTTATCTGTCCGACAACAATATGCTGGACTGGTTGACGGACGACCAATTGCGCCCAGAGCACACCAAAGATGCAAATGGGTACTCTACTTGCCACTTCTGGTCCAACTTTGAGATCGGTGATATGGAGTTCTTCCGGGGTGAGAAGTATTCGGCTTACTTCAATCATTTGGATCGCGCGGGCGGCTTCTACTATGAACGATGGGGCGATGCTCCCGTGCATTCCATTGGTCTGGGTTTGTTCGCAGATGCGGCGAAGGTTCATTGGTACATATATCGGTCCCATATTCCACGTTCTGCCCACGCTGACCGGGTTACGCATCACAGGTTCCGCGATATTGGATACAACCATATCCCTTACTACAACTGCCCCAACTCGCCCAAGTGCTCCGGCTGCACCCCAGGCAAATTCTACGCCGGCGAGCCCTTCCTGGCCAAGGAAGATTGCCGGCCTAGCTACTTCAAGCATGTCGGAACCCATTAAGCTTCTGTAACATTCTATTACATTCTCTGGAAGCGCTCGCAGCAACAGTCAACAACCGTCCAGGCTCTCCACCGGATAGATTGCGGCGGCTGCAGCGAACGGGCATGGTTTCTCTTGATGGATCTGTATATTATCAGACTTGGGACTCGACGAGTCCACCTCGGGTACGAGAACGTCCCCGTTATCCGACATCTAACGACCTCAGTGCGCGACTATCACGACTGGTTTGTTCCATTGTACATCGCATACTCAGCATTGACGACCCTAAGCACTTGAACTTGTTTCCCTTAAAATCCTGGCGGCGTTGAAAGGATCGGTCATGGTCTTTTTTATTCGATTTTCATCCCCATATTTACCTTAAAATAGTCTCATATTTGATATCTAGCCGCGTTGTGCTCTCTTGATCGAATTGCTGCCGGCCTTTTGTTGTACCTATATATTTCGTGACATTTCAAACTGTTCTTCTGACGAGGATACATTAGACCGGCGCATTTATTGTCCTTTTATTGTCTCGTTTTCCATGCCATCTAGTTGCTTTCGTCATTGACATCTGCATATGGACAGATGTACTTTGAGCAACACGAAAAGTGTGTGTATCATGACCGTTCGGTATTCATGTTATGCGTCCAGTGGACATCAAAAACAACCCCTTGAATTTTCACTATCTCCAATAATACAGAGTACAATCAAATGCTCACAGGATTTATAGTAATAGTAGCACTGGTATAGAAAAGCACGTGTGCACCTCCATTCAACCCCCGGGACAGTAGGGCTCCGGTCGGAAGATAGGGATAGATCAAACCCATCAAAGAGACACGGGGGACACCTCCACCAACTGCATTCTAGAGTATGTATACAGCTTTCCTATCTAATCGACTGGCACAGTGGGACAAAAAAAGTGATTTGGCATGACGAGACTATGGTCGATTATTTACTGCTCGCCGGGGTAGAGCTCTTCACGGAGAGCAACGCCAAGCTCCTGGCGGAGACCCTCGAGGGCCTCAAGGTATTGCTTGTACTGGTCCTGGGTCTCGACCTTGGCCTTGATACCTATTCGAACGAGCCGTGTGAGTTTATGACTGATGCACAAAGTCATGACAAATGCAGGGGAAGATATGGGGAAAGCGCACCCTCGAAGACACGGACAGCGGTGGGGAAGTCGTTGACGCGGCGGGCGGCCCTGAGAGCGGCGGAGAGGACCTCAACGGAAGGGACGAGATCGTAGGCGAAGCAGTTGTTCAGGTTGCGCTGGATTCATAGCAAATAACATATCAGCATTGAGTCCCCTCACATGTAATATAGATAAGTATAGTGGTGTGGAGCGATCTGCCAATGGCAGGCTGAATGATTATAAAACCGAGATCCAAGTGGATAAGGGCCATATATGGAATGTTCTCTGTGTGAGAGAAGCCTGGCTTACCTGGAGCTCGAAGACATCCTGGACACCGTCGAATTCCTTCTCGAATCTGTTGCGTTGCAAGCGTTAGTTCGGAAGGAGATCCTTTTTTTTCCCTTGGTTTTCCCCCTCTCGGCGATAGATTCCGACAGCAAGCATCAGGAGATTACGGCCAACCGGATCGAGCCCCTGCTGTCGGTGTTTGAGGCTCGCTCACGGCTCGTCGTGGGCTCAATGGCTCGCTGATTGGGCTGGCATACCTGGCAGAGAACTCCTCATATGTCTCATCCTCGTGGTGACCACCCAGACGCTTGGAGGAGGTGCTGAAGGCAGGACGGTTGATAGCGAGAGCAACCGGGGTCTGCAGGCGGGACCGGGGCAATTGGGGAGCTCTGAAGAGGCTGGCAGGGCGGACGGCGCGGGTCGCGACACGGAAGACAGAGACGGGTGACATTGTGAGGGGGGTTGGAATGGAGAGGCGGGCGAATTGACGTGGTGAGAGGAGAGGAGGATGGGCAAGGTGTGGACGAGGTTGAAGTCAGAGGACAAGGACGGCTGCGCTAGGATTTTGCGGGTGGTGTGAGGCGGTGGGTGCCTCAGGTTTCCCAAGCGGTCGTCCGTCATCGATTCCTTTGGCGGCTCCCGTTCACGCCCGATCGTGGCCTGAGGCTGCGATCGCTGTCATTCGCTCGTTCCGGCTCGTGATTTGTATTTCTTGGTCCTGATTGGCTGGAACATAGTGGTGTCAATTCTGGGCGGTAATTGGTTCGACTATTCCGGTTCTTAGGTTCCATCCTTCGATACTAACAGCCTCAGTATTGACATCCAATGATTATAACATGGTTCAATCCTTGAGAACCTCTATCCTTTTGGATAACAACAACCAATTCCAATACTCACGTATTTAACCAAAACAGTCAAAATGGTAATACGAAAAGATATGAGGGTGTATCCTACCAATCAACTTCAGCAGTTTCGTTCGTCACTCCTTCATAAAGGATTGCGTAATGCAATTCTTATTACATTATCCCTGTCAGGAACAGTCTTCCAGGCCATGGATTGAATTTATGGGATGCCTTCATAATTTGAAGTTATATAGCAACGTTTTCATCTATGGCTATGAAGGGAATTACTAGGCTACCGGGTATATTGAACAAAGATTCAAGAAGGCTGGATTATAATTTGTTGTGTTCGTAATAAAGCTAGGAAGAGAGGCCACAACAGTGGGATATTATACTTGGCTCCCGAGTTAGCCCAATCTAAACATAGAGGATCAGATAAGATACTCCTCATGGAGACGTCTGCATCGCCCAGTTAAACTATCTGTATACCGGGAGGCGAAAGATAAGCGACAGTGTTCTAGCACGGCACATACTACGATGCCTGAGGCCACAACTTTGAGTGACTTGAGATAAGATCGTTGACAATCAAGAATGACATCAGTTGAAAGCACATCACTAGACATCTACACTGGTTGAGTCAAACTATGCCCTCCGCTTGTTCTTATCCTTTCACCTTCGGAGACTTTTGTTGAGAGCAGTGGATCTACGATTAATAATCTGCCCTTTAAACCCAACCATTTATCAGCAACAATTTCATCATTCTCGGCATACCGAGGTACTAGCGAGGTATTTAGGTCAAGATCTAGGGATAGACTCAAAAGTCCCTCTTATCAACTTAGTCCACCTTCCTACTTCAAAAATATACCTATTTCCCCCCGCCCATCATTCCTCGTCACGGTTTCAACGAATAAAATGGCGTCCGCGGTCATCAACCAGATTGCTATCCTTACCCCTAAGGAGGGGAAGTTTGACGAAGTGGGTACCTATCAGCTCGCAAATTGGCCATCTGATCCAGCATAAAGCACTTATGATCAAGATGAGCGGCACTTCAGTTGAAACGTGAAAGTCGAAGCTAATGATCCCTGTTCGCTGTAAAGCTCGCCGCTGAACTGGCCAACATCACCCGGAACGTGCAAGAACACGAGCCCGAGACGCTGGTGTATTATGCTTATGCCGATGCCAAGAAGGAAGAGATCATTGTCGTTGAGAGGTTGGTCTATCCTTCAGTTATCTGTTGATTGTCTTTTCTTCGTTTCCTATTGACAAGGACATTACTAGATATGTGAACCAGGCTGCCTTGGACAAGCACCGGGCTGCACCTTACTTCCAGGATCTCATCAAGAAGGCCCCTGAGCTGCTAGGCAAACCCTTGGAACTCAAGGTTGGCAATGAGTTGCTCCAGGAATCTGCACAAGTTGTCCGAGTGTAGGATATGAGCTCGTCTGTTCTTTATATAGTTTGATGACATAAGTACATGACTTCTTTGGGTTGAGTGTCTTCTCTATAAGCATCAGGCTCGATGTATCTCTGCACCAGTCGAAAAGCTCTTTTAAAGAGGCTGGGTTCATTGCAATGTAGATACCGAGCGGGGTTGTTCCCTTAAATAGAGTTCTTTTTAACTTTTTGCCCATACCAACAGTCTCCTGCACGATGTCTATGTCGCGCATGCACTGTCTTAATTCTATACCACGTCAACAACTTGGCTTAAATCTATTATAAGAAATTTCAAGTTGATTCGTCTTTCGCATGCCAAGTAAACAGGTTGTCCTGATGATGTGTAAAATTTTCACGGGTATACACAAAACTAGCTTGTGTTTCCGGTGGGAAATATATATATATCAATCCAATAGGTACTATCAAGAGTATATATATACAAGTTGTTTTCCTGCAAAGATCACCAATATTAAAACCAAAATTAGTAGCAAACTTTTTTTTTTTAATTTTTTTTTTTATTTAAACAAATTCTTCACTTAAATTCCATTGAAATGCTGTAAAGAAAGATTAACCTCGATCTAAACAAATGTGGTCCATGGGAAGTAGTTCCCATGGAGATGTACTGGATGTCAAGAAATTGCGGCGGGACTAGTAATAACTAGTAGGCTCACCTATTCTTGAGCTCCCATGACTTGGCGGACCCTCATTGGTAGATCTGATGGACGTGAAATTGGACTCCATCGGACTGCCTGGGACTAGCAGTAACCATGGATTCTGCTCAAGTACGTGCATGTGAAAATCAGTGTGGTCTGTTCGCTGTCTATTCCGTCTGGATTTGCCAATAATTTGTGAATCGTGTGAGTCTACGCTCTGTTAATACTGAACCCCAATCTCAGTACAATTGGATTATGAACCTCGTCGGTAATCAGTCGTGAAAATACTAAGGCAATCTTACCCGGACAGACAATGGACAAAAGAAAATCGATGCCTGAAGAGGGACTCCGGAAGCACGGGAAGGCACATGATCCGCAGGCCCTAATAGACAGCCGCCCCTTTTTATCAAGACCGAGGTGCGTCCCCTGATTGGATGAAACCTGCGGACGTGCCAAAAAGGGACCCCAACCAGAAAAAAACGACACGCGGAGAAGAATCGAATCTCCTTGCGCCTGCGCTTTCTTTGCTTTTCCTCTCCACCTCCTTGTCTCGTCCCAACCACAGTCGACTTTTTCGTCTTCTTCTTTTCGTTTCTGTTCCTTTAATATCCTCCTCTCTCTTCTCTCCCTTCTCTTGCGCTCTCTTTCCCTTCCCTTTCTTGTCATTCCTTGTGCTGTTTTGACTGGTTGCCTTGCGGCCGCCCCGAGAAGAAAAAAGAGAAAAGCATCTGTAGTCCTCAGGGCTTCAAGGTCTTCCTTTGACAACGTCTATTTTAGCATAGTACTGTTGTTAGGTCTCATATACGCTCGATCTCCATCTTTCGACCTCCTCACCGTTCACAATGGCGCTCGAATTCTTACAGAATGTGCCCCGTCCGACAATTGATCGGCCCTTTGGCATCCACCTCTGGCCCATCTTCGACCAGGCTTTCGAGAAGGTCGTGGGCTATCCCGCCAGCGAGTTCAAGTTTGTTGAGGGAGAGACCCCCATGTCCGGCTTCCGGGAAACCGCTGCGATGCTCGTGACCTACTACGTCGTCATCTTCGGAGGCCGCATGGTCATGAAGAATTTCCCTGCCCTCAAGCTCAACACCCTATTTATGATTCACAACTTCTACTTGACCGCGATCAGCGCGACTCTATTGGCCCTCTTCATCGAACAGCTTCTGCCCACCATCTGGAGAAATGGAATCTTCTTCGCCATCTGCGACTACGAGGGTGGATGGACTCAGCCCCTGATTGTTCTGTACTATGTTAGTACCGCGACGATGATAGAATTAAACTAGTGATGGGAATACTGACGCGCAAATAGCTCAACTACTTGACGAAGTACTTGGAACTCATCGACACCGTCTTCCTGTTCCTCAAGAAGAAGCCTTTGACCTTCCTCCATACCTATCACCACGGTGCCACTGCTCTCCTCTGCTACACCCAGCTTATCGGTTTGACCGCTGTCCAATGGGTTCCTATCACCATTAACCTTTTGGTCCACGTTGTCATGTACTGGTACTACTTCCAGAGCGCCCGTGGCATCCGTATCTGGTGGAAGGAATGGATCACCCGTCTTCAAATCATCCAGTTCGTTATCGACCTTGGTAAGTAGCATCACTGATGACGTTCGGAAGGGACCGCGGCTAATCAGACATCAGGCTTTGTCTACTTTGCATCCTACACCTATTTCTCCTCCACCTACTTCCCCTGGGCACCCAACATGGGCAAGTGTGCTGGAGAGGAATTCGCTGCCTTCGCCGGAATGGCCATCCTTAGCTCCTACCTGTTCCTGTTCATCTCCTTCTACATCGCTACCTACAACAAGGCTGCCAAGACCGGCCGCCCCCGTCGCAACACTGGCAGACAGGCTGTTATCGATATGGCAAAGATGGAGGTCGTCCCCTCTGCCAACGGCAGCGCGGCCAATGGCAACGCCAAGTCGAACGGAGCAGCAACCGCTTCTGGCCGCTCCAATGGCCCCGTCACCCGCTCCCGGAAGGCCTAAGCCTATCATATCTCTTTGGCATTTTGGAATCATATTGGCATGACTTGCGGAGCAACCCGCTTGGTATGGTAATACCTTCGGAGGGCCCACGGGAGGGCCAGCAGAATGCCCCATTCCAGGAGTCATATTCGCTTTGGCCCCGTTCTAGTTCAAATTGGATTTTTTGCCAACCCATGGCAAAAGACACCAAGAACAAGATACTTCTCAACTTGCATATTTCAACCGTTTATCCGGTGCCCAATGCTTTATCTGTTTAATGTATGACCATTATGATATTGGTCGCCTTCACTTCGCGACCATGATGCACGTCACTGTCGCTTTGCTGCATATGAATGTGCGATACCAGCTTCCAGCTAATGTGTGAAGGGTTCTCTTCTGCCTGGGAACGCGTCGAAGTGACCCAGGTTGCTCCGATTGTTTTCGGTCTGTATTCTACCTTGATTATCACGTCTTCTGCCGGGTGCTGCTGGTTGCACCCGTCCTTTTTTTCTTCTTTTTCCTTTCCTTTATCAATGTCTTTTTTACACCATTGTGAAGTTTTATAGATGCCAGCTAAACTTAAATGTAATCATGGTCATGTATGTTTTCTTTTACCAGATGAACAGAAAAATGTTTGAATATTACTGCTAATGTATATATATTTGCCATACTTGTTGAAATTTATGCTGAAGTTCTCATTCCCAAGCACTTGTAGTCCGTTCTAAACGTTGATAAACCCCCAACACTATCACATCAGTATCGAAGGCTACTTGCATTTCAGCGAGTCTATATAAGAGCGTATTGATATATGGCATAAATTATAAAGTTTTATATTTTTACCATAAGAGAGGGTCTCACTATAGGTACACGTTAAATCATATCAGACATTCAATATTCCATAGAGACCAAGAGAGGCAAAATTATGAACAGAACCAAGATCTTCCGAAGCACACAAAATAGTAGGTGTATTCATAGCCAATACAAACCAGAATCAAATAAAAAGTTCATAGAGAAACGCTCCATTACTCTTTATGCTCGGAGTCGCACCCTCCTGATAAATGGTTTTCTATATATATCGGTGGAGGATGAATCGAACGCTACGTAGTCTTCCAAACAAACCATACTACTATTCTACGTTAACTGTAGAGATATTTTCACGAAACTTGGATGCTACAACACTCGGGAATAGAGTGAGTGATACACACACACAAACACAGAGAGAGAGGGAGAGAGAGAGGAAGAGAGAGGAGAATTAAAACCTCCAAAACAAAAGTAGAACAGCCATATCGCAAGAAGCTAGACCGAGTATCAGGTTCAAAGCCCCATGTACTGAGAAGATGAGCCCGAATATTTTCTGATATGGATGTCTATTATGGGACATATCAAGAGACTAGGATTTAGACACAAGAATCTGTGAATTGATGTAGGGATCGTGATGAAGGTGATGTATCTCTACGACAATGATATATTCTGATTGTGATTATACTGTTGGGGTATTGGCTTAGTTGATATTTCGTATATGCATCTCATTCCAATCGGGATCTGTTGTTGTTATGGTATGCATCCTGGTTCTTTTTGTTTATATAGTTAGTGATCTTGTTGAATGGAAAGAAATTTCTGAGATTGAGGAGAGTGCCTGTGCTTTGAGAGTCTATCGTGATAGGGTGAGAAGTAGTGTATGATGTGTATGAGGTACATGGGTTGGTAGTAACGGTAGTATTGGCTATGGAGATAGACATATCAGAGATAAACGAGTCAAAGGTTACTTGTTGAGAGACAGATGCGTCAAAGGACTTGAATGAGATGTCGTGAGGTTGGCGTTTTATCCTCAAGTAGTAGCGGATTATTCTCATTCAAGGATGCCGGACTAACTCCAAGACGGTGAGGAGGATCTTTCATAGACATAATGATGAATACCAAGTACGATTATTGTTGGCAAAGGAGAGTTCAAAGTGATTACGTGCATAAAGAGGCATCTATCTAGGGCAACGGTAGAGTTACGGCCCCTTATCCTGCTTGCGTATACGATATGGTTGATGGGTAGATTATCCGAGATAAAAAGTAAGGGGTAAGATGATACTTGGCATCTATCAGTCTTTTTATAGGAGATTCTCGGAAGTATAAAGTGATTCGGAGAGTTAATACGGTGGCATCTTCTGATACCATGATTTCGCTTTCCGGGTTGTGCTCGCGAAACCTGATGTCTTTTGGGATGGCGCAGACATTGATATTTTTCATGTGGGGTTTCAAACTCCACAGAAATGTCGGAGATGAAGGGAATAAGAAGTTGCCGCCTACAAAGTAAACTTTGGCTTCATTCTACAATGATAGAGCCCGGAGTCCACGGACAACGGAGTCTCCAAGCGAATCATCCACAACTAGATGTAAGCTTGAATTAGTTTCAATACATTATGTAAGGGCAACTGTCACGTATGATTAATGATCAATTAGCACACGCACGCTGATAAGTTAATGGTCCAATGCCATGAGAACCAAGGTTTGATTTATACAGATCAGATCATATATATGACATCTCGCACTTTAGGGCTCTTCCTCCCATTTGACCAGAGTTTATTTATAGCAAGTGCCGTTTTCTTCGAGGTGGATATGCGGTGGAGAGCCTCGGAGGACTATTGATTTTTAAATTGCTTCCGAAGCCTCGGAGAACACTATCTGTCTTGAATCTTCCATATTCGGAGTACACGGATTACACAGTACGGACTGTCTGACCATTCTAGCGGACCATGGTTGAGGCCAATAATTCTGGACACTATTGGCGTTTGAAACCTTCCTTCTAAGATGTCTTGCAGTCAATGTTTGTGTATTGACTTCAAGCGAGAACTCCGTCTTTTTCCATTTGGTGGATCCGGTACCTGGATATGATATGACATCTTGGCGGCTTTTCCCTTTCCGAATTAAGGCTGGATGTGACGCTGGAGTTTGGTGATTGTGCACTAAACGCACTGGTGCGTGTTCAGACTGCCCAATGACGAGTAGCGAGTTTAACCTCGGCCACGGCTGTATTAACCTTAGTATTCAAGATGACATGCGATAGACCTTAACCGCGAAGACCCTGCAGGACGGTCGCCAGATGGACAGAGGCCTTTGTTAATAATGGCAACTTCAGGGGTGGGTGCCATTCTTGCTCTTAGGTGTGTGGAGTCGGGTTCGAGAGACAACTATGGACGCATTCTTCTGCCAGCTGCTCGCCATAGGCATACGGAGATCACACAGCAGCTTTCTCATTGTTAAGGGCGTCGATCCAAATGTAAAAGAGGTCAAGGATACTACACCCCTTCATCTCGCCATGAAGCTTCGAAATATCATCATGAAGCAGCTTATTGCCATAGACGCGGTGGACCCGGAATGGAAACATAATCGCGCGGATATGCCTGCTGATAGTGGTACGATACCAGTACTTCGAGGCAGCTGAGCTCTTATTCTCCATGAGACGCATGCAGATTGACCCCGGGTGTTGGGAAGGGACCGAAAAAGTTATATATGGTTACTCTTGAAGGCTATAGCGAGATCGTCAAGTCTTTCAAGATAGCTAAGTAATGTCACTGGTGTTTAACAGTAGGGGTATGACCATTGTGAGTACGATATCAGGGCGTGAAAGAGTGAGTGATGTTCTAGTCCTTACGGAGCACTTTGGACGGTGGGTGCGTGTCCTAGACTGATAAAGGACGTCTCCTTAAGGCGAGATCACGTGAGCTCCCCATGGACATTTGGAGTCACTCCGACTCGCTCGGAGACAGTGCCAGTTTCATGCACAACGAGTGCACTAAGTAATAAAAGAAAAGACAGTGGATATGACATTTGCCCCTCCCTCAATGGTGGGTGCGATTCCTATTGCCCGGGTAAACACCGTTATTATGTCCCCACCAGGGTGAAGATCAGATCATATGGCTTTTCGTTAATCCAGTTCCGTCCATTTCCTGTTCGGACAAGTCGCCGGTTTAGTGCTGCTAGTAGTGGTTATAGCAGGGAAACATTTCTATTATTAATCACAGAGTTACCTTGCTGGAAAGTCGGTCAGCCAACACAAGGCAAATTACTGGGTAGTAGTTGCCTCGTCGGAGTTTATCTTTCATGGCCATGGCTCTGCTTCGCCTGTCCGGGATTAGGGCAATGCCGTCGTAGCTCGATGAAGAAAAGAAGAGGGGATGAATCCTCCAGAGAAGATGATCTCCTCGGATTATGCTGAATTCGGCAAGATCTTCGCTGTCAGGATAATTTCCGCACACTTGGCCCTACATATAATACATAGGATCACATCACACCAGGCAATGGAACCGGAGAAAAGGAGTCTTTCTTCCCTCCATCCATGCCTACATTCTATACCCCACAATCCCTATCCTTAACAGAAATGTAGGTCCGCGAACAATGCCTACATAGAATTCCCTCCCTCGTCACTGTCAGTATGAAGGGCGCGCGTTTCCCGCTCCCTGTCTAGGGTCATTTCGGCATTGACTCGGCTTTTACCCCCCCTGTCACTATTCTGCATCATCAGACCATAGATGCATTCTCTGACTTGCCCTTTCTTCATATTTCAAATCCTGTCTACTAATCATGAACGAAATAAACGGTGGAAGAACCTATAGCGCCCATCGGGATTTGTGCCCTTGGGTACCTGTCATTGCCGCCACCCTCGGTGCCTTGTGCCTGACTCTGGACTTGGCTTCCGTCTAGTCCTGCATATCTAGGAGCCCGTACAGTTGCATTGCCAATAACGCGGTTCGGTTATCAACTGGGGTACAGGGCTTATCGCATTAGCGTTTACTATGTGCCATGAGTTATGTATGCAGATTGTAGGGTGAGATGTGGCGATTATTGCGGGTTTTACTGGCTTGCCTCTGGGCCTTATTCCATTTGATTACCTCATTAATGGCTTAGGTCTATCGGACAGGGTACGCAAATGACTTGTGATGATCGCTATGTAAACTGTAAGCATACTTTGTGGAATAGGAGCTCAACTTTAATATGAGCACCCCGAGGTTGCAGCCGTGATGCTGAATTATCACGCTAATCTCTCTGCCGTCTGATAATTGGTTGATGGATATTTGATGAATCTCTACGGCGACGTGTCTTCTCCAGCCAAGGCCAAACGGTAGCGAGTGTTAAGTTCTAAGGTTGTCACCAGCCGACGAAGGGTAAGGATAGTGGGGAAGCTGACGTTAAACAAGAGAGTTGCCGTTAGTCAACGAAAGTTGAGGCTTTTCCTCAAGGATATTGCAAGGCTTGACGAGAAGTGGGGTTGTGAATGTAAACCGCAAGCCGTGGAGGGGAAGAAAGTTTACCGATGAGTGCTATTTCTCATCCTGGTGCCGGAAAAGACGGTATCTTGTACCTACAGCATTGGCTCCCTATCTCCTCCGTTCGTATCCTACCTGGTGGTTGGATAGTCTATCGATTTGTATCTAAGTTTCACGACCATCTGAGCGTCCGGGGAAGCTGGCAAGTTGGTGATGGCTGGGGGCAACAATCAGACGCCACGATATCATTATGCAGATGATACGTGTATCATCGTCGCTATCTACTGATTTGAGCGATCTGGGAAAGTCTAAACTACATCTTGCTTAGGCCTTCTGCTGATGGTGAGGCAGTTTTGCTGGCGATCTTTGCTGCATCAGGTTGAAATTGCTGTAGGGTTGGACAATCTGGCGGGCTGGACTCGAGAGACTCGATAAACACCAACGCAAGGGAGAAGCATGTCTGTACAACTTTGGTGAAAGTCGGCTCTGCCCGGTCGATGCTGGACCATACGTACGTGGTCCTACTGACCTACATACGTGTAACCACGCAGTCATACTTGCAGCTTCCCCTCCGTCCAGGGTTCAGCGAAAGAGCGCGCATCATGTATTGTCGCTCAATATTCCAACCACATGTACCGAGTATGTGTACTATGATCTAAACCCGATGGCCGTTCCTCGATCCGGTCGTAAAGTTCGTATGTGCCCGAAATATCTCCCCTTTAGCCGATAAGGGCGCGAAAATAAAATAAAAAAGAAACGAAACCATGGTGTATGCCTTGGTCCATGCGCTGTCGGGGTTGTTTCACAATGCAACAAAATCGTGTTCCTGCAGTTCAACGGGGGTCGTTGAACCTGCCGCACTTGCTTTTTTTTTATTTCTTTCTGTATTTATTTATTTACTGATTGTTGTCCCGTGGTTTATGCTTGTCTAATTTTATGAAGATCAGAGGATAGGTTATGCATTGGTGACGACGATCATAGTGACCAGCCTCCTATTGTCTTAGTCTGCCGAATCGGGTAATTCTCGTCTCCATGCCCTAAGTAATTATTGCATGTCAAGATGATGTGGTATAGAGTTTTCGAAAGTCGGTGAAGCTGTCAACCACCCACGATGTATCATGGTGATATATATATAGGAATATTGATTTTTTTTTAACTCCACGAACCATTGAGTCCAGTTCTCTTCGGATCCCATATCCGAAGAGCTGGTTGTGGGGGAAATTCTCCTTCTTGTTACAGACCGACACACAGTCTGTGAGCGACTGCAAGGGTTCGAGTAAAACAGTAGGGAGGTTCTGGTCTATTGCTGTGGGCGCCGATGAGAAAAATCTCCTATTTGTTGAGCAAATCGGAGAATTTTCTCTCTCTCTTTTTGATCCTCGTACTCCGTACACCATGGGGGAAAAAGCACGCCTTGGTTGTATTACCTGACTAACAATTTCCATGGATTGCTGAGGCGAATGAACTTCCAAGGCGGGAAGAGCAAACTAGTGTGCATCCTTTGGGGTTAATGCTCGAAATGGCGCGTTTGAGTTAGAGATGCTCCACCGTGCTGCAGCAACGGAGATCTTGGCAGCTTTCCCTTAGTGGGTGGTCCTTGGAGGGTGATTTTCTCTGGTTCCGGTCCCCATTTCAGGAGGAGCCCTTTGACTTTTTGATACATGATAATTGTGGGTGATCGGAGGGTGGTCATTGCGAAGGTTGTTGACTATTGTTTGAGAAAATTCCATTTCTTGTTCTTTTTGGCTTCGATCCGAGGAAGCGAATGATTTCCGAACCTGTTTTGGACCAGTTTGTCTGCTCTCTTTTTCTTTTTCTCTTTTCCTCTGTTTTCTCTTTTATTTGCTGCAACATTTCTCCACTTGTTTTAGTGGGGCGCCATCACTTGATTCACATTTCCGTTCTCTATCAATAACAAACGGCCGAACATGAATCTAAGGCAATCTAAGTTACTTAGTTTCTCACGGAATGCTACCCCATGTGGCTTAGGACAGGAGACGAAACTCCCCAGCACAGACGTTTGCCCTGAAGGTCATTCTTGATAGTCCATGATAGAGTACCGACTATGGCACCTTCTATGGAGAAAAAGCATATTAAACCATATCTGCAGTGTCTTAGACCGACAACGATAGGTTAAATAGAAAATTCTTCTCGTTCCATGAGAGGATGTTGTATTCTGCATGGTCTCGAATCTTTTGGCAGAGAAGAACCACCTCCCCCCCTCCCCTGGCCACCCCATCCAATGAACAGTAATACCATATCTCAATCGTCGATCGGCAAGAGGATGACTAGAAAATTTGGCTGCAAAACGGTTTAAACCGTCGAAAGGGGAAGACGCACATGATCTCCACTAAGTAATACTAAAGTAATCTAAATGTTGCCGCCAAACTTGTTGGCCCTAAAAAAGAAGCTCCGTCCATCCATGGTCACTGCATTGACCTCCCCTGTCGACAGCTCACGTTGATACGTCAATTCCTCCCCGACTCGAACCTCTCGTCATTGGGGGGGTTTTTTTTTCTTTCCTTTTTTCCTCTTCTCTTATTTATTTATTTATTTTGTGTTAAGATTACCTCCGCGTCCCAAGGTACGAACCAAGGTGTCGTGTAAAGCAGGACAGAAAGCTAAAATTACACAAGTTCCTTCGGTCTGTTTCCCCTTCATTATTCATTTGTGCCCGGATGGCGTTGAATTGTAACGCGCTACGCCGGCAGGAGATAGCCGAGCTTATTCCAGCGGCTCTCTTTCTCGTGTTGAGTTCTAGCTATTTCTGGTATTTGTCGTTGTCACCAATGTAGGGTTAGTTCGGGTGTTAGTCAAGAACTCTGCAAATGCAAGGGTTAAACTTGAAGTTGATATCCTGAGGCAGCGGTCCACTCGTTGGCTTGCAGGAAAGAACCGGTAAGGGAAATTAGAAAAAATAATATTTAAATAAGATTCAAAAAAAAAAGGAAATTACTGTAAAATACTGTATAGATTTATTTTATTTTTTTTTCTTCTTCTAATCCATGTTTATAATGTATAGAAGATAAAACAAATCATTTAGTAGAACAAATAATATGAAGAAAATGAAAAAGAAAGAAGAAGAAAAAAGGAAATGAGAAAGTAGAAAAAATAAAAATAAAAAAAACAAAAAAAACAAAAATACCCTTTTCGCAAGTGACTCCACGTGTGCACGGCTTTTACCTTGTACTGACTGTCCTTACCAGAGACACACACACACACATTCTCTCTCCACTTCTGCCGTTTACCTCAATACCCACGGATAGTCCGCTCGGTGGAGATCAATGTAGTGCGTGGTCCGTCCTCCGTTCCGAAGGTTGTGTGATCTCATGGCATCGAGGGTGGCTGTTTTTCCACTCCTCCCTGTTCAAACCTTCAGAGACAAGGGGATCCACTTCTTTTAGAGCATACCAACCCGTGTGGGACAGGAGGAGAAGTAGAAAAAGGGAAAAAAAAGAGAAAAAGGATGATTGTCTGCTCTTAGTTATCTGATATATCTCACCTATATCCGTCTCACTCTTTGACGTTCTTGTCTTCCCTCACTTGCGACCCTCCCCCCCTACTTTCGTCTCTGGTCCTTCTATGTTAATTTTTTACTGCTTTTGTTCACACACTCATTTGTTATCGTTGATGATACCGTGAGTGTATCATCTTTCTTATCCGGTGACATATATCATTATTATCGTCGCCGTCCTGACCACCTCATTGTCGCGGACTCGATCATTAACAGCCCATCTACTTGCCATTCTTTCTTATAATAATCAGCTTGATCTCCTTTCAACTTGGTCCTGGTGAACCCCGGACACAGCGGAAGAAACTATGTACGACACCGCCGGGCCTATTCGTTTGGATTATATCAACCAACAGCACCTACCACGGCGGTACGAGTCGGACGAGGAGGATATCTCGGAGTCCGAAATGGGGGGACACGACAATGCTTTCTCTCCTCTGGAGGCCTATGAACCGTCAAATCCTGATATCAACGAGTCGGAGATCGAGCGGCCCGGCTTTCCTCGGTTACTGCCTACATATTCATCCTCCGGGAAAACGTCGCGCCCCGTATCAATGGACACCATCAAACGAAGCAGTGCAACGACATTTGTAGCAGACTCGTATATTTTCGAACATGATGACGACGTCATCATTGAGCTTCCGTCCCCTGACGCTACATCTCCCCTACAATCTCCAATCTTCTTGCCCCCAAGTGTATATGTTCCATCGGAATCACCTGTATCGACGAGACCTCAGTCTCTCGCCTCTACATCATCGGCATCGATGTATTCTGATGATGAAGATTCGGACCTGCTCGTAGCAGAGCAGGTCAAGATCGTTGAACCAATTGCAAAGCCTAATCTAATCCTAATCAGCCCAGTTTCTGAACACTCACCCTCCCCTTTTAAGGACTCGACGCCTAAACCTAATACTACCAAGGATAATTCAAACGAGAGCAGCCCTCAGGGGGTGTACTCGCATCGGCGGGCAGCAGCCTCCCAGCCCTTACTATGGAACAAGTGGGATCAACCCCCCGCGAGGAATGAAGCATTAAAACGGGGCAGCATGCATCTGACCACCCGCGATCTTGACCGATTACCCATGGTGGCATCGGGTCCCATCGTCAGCTCACCAGTCGAGGTGCCCGAGCTGCCCTCTCCGATGACACTGCCGATGCACTCGATGACATTCCCACGCCCCGCAACTGCTGTGTCTGAGAAGGTCTCTTCAGAGGGGTACTCTCGTCGCCCTACGGATACTCTCCGCCGCCCGCCATCGATCAAGAGTCTGAGCAGCGCTAGTCTTCCATTTTTTCATAGCCGTCAAGCTCCTACCAGCGCTGAGGCTGACTCTCGGACACGGTCCATGTCTTACACACATTCGAGTGCCAAATCTGTGCATGGATTGCCATTGCAGTCAAGCTGCCCGCCATCTCGTACCTCTAGCCCTTCTCCATATTATTCCTCACCTTCTTTCACTCGTGAACGATCTGGTTCCACCTATAGCACTTCCAGCTTTAGTCGCGCCCCCACACCACTCCGACAGCCACTGAAGAAAACCTCAACTTCTTCTAGCATTTACTCATCCAGCAGTCTCCGGTCTGAGGTAGAGAGCGTCCGCAGCCTGGACCCACGGGATGTGGCTGAGACCGATTTCCAGCAAAAGGTTAAGCGAAAGAAGAGTCTGCGACTTATGCGGCAGTCCACACTTGAACCTTCCGACCCGTCTGGGAAAAAGAGCTTCATGGAGTTTATGTTCGGATCCAAGCGGAAGTCCACCATCAAAAGTCTTAATGCTTAATTTCCAGAAAGTGACAACGATTCCCTGTTCTCAATCTTTCGATCATTGCTTCTGCCTTTCCTACTTCTACCCTCCTTTGGCGGAAGAATTTGTTCATTGATACCTACACTTGTTTTCCTGTCACTATTTTGTTTTCCCTTTACTATACTATACACGGATTGTCCAGCGGTTCCTGTTGAGCGTTCAAGGCGTTGGGGGTTTTTTTTTGATTTCATCATTCTACGGCGGCGGGTTTCTTGGCTCAAACTTGGACTTTTATTTCACTCCGTTTGATATGGACCGAATCCACCTTTTGTTGAAGACATTTCTTTTCCTGTATCATAATGCCGAAGAGTTCATTCACGGTACCTCCTGGAGTGGGCCGAACCGGACCGGTTATTCTCAATACCCAATTGGATGCAAAGTAGAAAAAAAAGTTGAATTTCTGATCCCGTTCTCAAAGTAAAACAAATGATATCAAATTGAATCCCGAGCCGAATGACCCACCCAGTCTTTTCACTTGTAAGCGAACCCCATAATCACAGAAGAGATACTGTCACGTTACATTGCCATGAATAAAAATCGGACGGCTGGGGAGATTGAAAGTGGAAATTCTCCATCTCCCTGATCCTTCCACCCTCCTTCATCTACGCCGTATCCATGATCAATCACCAACCCGAGAAAACCACTCCCCCTCTCCACCTACTGCACTCGTGTCCAAGGGTCCAGCAACGGGAAGGAATCCAAGTCCCGTCCATGACTTCATGATTTGTACACAATCTCGTATTCTCCCTTGTAGCGAGTCAGGCTTCTCCTGGACTTACCCAAAATGAGCGGCTCTTTCGGCTTTCATCTCTGAGTTAGGTCTAGGGCTGCGTTTTGTCCGTGCGGGATTCACGATCTGGATTAAATGATCGGCACTGTCAGCGTATGTTCGCGATGGGGTTTCCCGTTTTGGGGGGCGGAATCGGGTGTTTGTTGGGATTTGCCCTAGTTTAATACTATCTTGATTGCCTTGGTAATTTTTTTTTTCTTTCGTCTCTGCCCCCTTTCTCCCGAAGTACCTTGATATCAAAGAAACGGGGGGAAGGGTTGACGTAGCCATTGATCCTGAAATTTAATCATCTGTAGATCCCATCATTCTGTTCCACTTTGAGCATTAAGTTGATCCGGTGAATCAAGGGAATCAATCATGTGTGTATGTGTTTGTGTATCGTACTGGCTTACGCTTTGCGACCTACATACTGTACATACCTTTAGGAGATCTACGTCATGCCTTGCACTTGTATGCATGTAGTCCGCCTTAATCTATGTAATCGATTTCTAAGAAAAGAGATAGACACGCAGGGTGCCCTGTGCCCTGCATAACCTCGAACAAAGCAAAAGTAACATGCTAAAAAAAGGTCTCAATGAAACAGTAGCAAACGGGCAAATAGGCAAACATCTCAATGAGGCTGAGGCGGAGGCTGAAAAAAGACTAAACAAACAAAATTAGTTGAATAAGAGAAATGTTTTTTTTAAAAAAACATAGAAACAAAAGAAAACATGCTCGTTTCAGATTCTTCTCCACGGAGTCAAGCTTTATCAAACCCCGAAACAAAAAAAACCTTTTCTTTCTTAGCACACACACAATGCACGGGACAAGGGACAAGAAGTCCTTATTCCATACGGAGGACCCGATGCGAATTTGGCTCGCGTGCGGGAAACCCGGAAGATCTCATGGAACTGATCGGTGGGCATCGGGAAAGTCCTTACGATGAGATTGAGATTTGAGATGGAGATCGGTACCAGCGATGGGAGTTTTTTTTTCTTTCCTTGCCCACGGACGGTAAGTAAAATCCGGGTTTCATTGGGTCAAGTGATTGACAATGACGAGTGAGCTTTTAAAGTTGCTTCTGGGTGTTCGGTACCGCATCTTGGGTTTGAACTTAGGGCCCACTTTGTTTCTTTGAGGGTCATACTTGCGTGCTTGCGAGGGTTCGGGATTGCGTTTTTTGGGGGTTGTGGGGTTTGGAGGGACACGTGTGTGTGTATTTAGTTTGTTCTCTTTATTTTTATTTCTTTTTCTCTTTCTCTTTCTCTCTTTTCTTTGTGCTCTTTGGGTGGTTGGGTGTTGGGTCTTCTGGATAGGGGGTGTTTGGTTACTTTGGTTTGGGAAGTGAGTTCGTGGTGGGTTTTGGGATGGTCTTGGTATCTTGTTTAGGGCTAGGGGGGGGGGGGGGGGTAAGGTGGGTATTGAGCAGTGGATCGACTGTATTCTGGAAAATTCTTGCTCGTATTCAAGGGAAGTTTAGTATGTTGGGTGGGTTACTCGTATAATACGATCTGGGAAGGCTTCGGCTAACCCTAATTGTAGCGTCGCAGTCGAGGTTGAAAGACATGAACCCGGTTATTGCCTCTGACTCCTTGAGTAAATGTGAATACTATCAGTGACATGCTTTATTCGTCTAAGATATTAACCTCCGTAATGACATTTAATCCATGATTCACAGTGGAGAGAAAATATCATTCCTACCAGGCCGCCCAGCTTTCACTATACAACAGCCATTGTCTAGGTTAACACCATTTCCCCCCTCTGTAGATCTCCTCGACTATCATACATACTCCTTGCTCTCTAAGTCTAAATAAGGAGGGGTATCATCTTCATCTTCGTCCATTTGCTTATGTAGACACTATCGAACCATTGTTTTCTATATGAAAACTCTTGCCCTGTTATATTCTGAATAGCTCGCTCAACCGTGCAATCAAACAAGATGAAAACACCTTTTCTTTTCCAAGCACACAACTTACCTTGAGATTACAATTTCTTTCGATCTACATTCATAGCCCTGTGCTCGTTGCGCCAAGGTGCTGTTTGAAGGAAAGCTCGACGGCGTTGTTGGGCCCTTGGTGTGCGAGCATCGGGGTGCTGGGCGACCCTGCACGCGGTGTGTAGGTCTGAATAAGGAGTGCCGGATGTTACCAGCACCCGTGTGGGCCGAAGTCGCTCGTCTATAGGCCATGGCTCCGGTTGGAAAGCTGTAGAGGTTATAGAAGCTCTATGGAAGCACATTAAGAGTTGTCTATGCAAGCTCGATATGGTGAACACGAAGCACCCGTGCTTCCAACCGTTGCTGAGTCTAAACTGCAACGTTTTCCGTTTGCTCAATAAGAAATGGGAGCTCGTTGGTAAGGAGTCTTTCGAGGAGGGAAATTTGGAGGGCTGGGCTGGTCTGTGGTGATTTCGTTTGTTTTTCGTTTGTTTATTTCTGGGGCCCGCTGGTGGGCACACTGCGTCGGGCAATAATCCTGTTGAAGATATCCAAGAGCCATCAGTCCGCCAGGAACACTGCTGTTGACTGGTACCCTGGAGAATCTTTGCGGGGAAGCAACTTTGTTGAAATGGGAAGTCTGGAAGACCCGGTTGACAGATACCCTACACTCGGTCAACCAATTCAGTTTACTAAGCTACTATCTACTGGCACGCTGATGCTGAATTTTGCACAAATTCAGGTGTCACTCGCAGAAAGAGTACGCATCGCATATTATAACAAGTTTCAGCAGCACATCCATACTGCTCACATCTTGGGTTATTGCGTCGACTGTTTAAAGGTCTTTTGCCGCGCCATTCATTGATATGCGGGAGTTACTTCACACCATATCGTCAAATGCATGAGATGGGGACCTAATCTGCTTCACTTTTACCGTTTTCAGCTGACTATCTTCACATACTAGTAGCCTTCATCGGTGTGACAATGGTTGGCTTATTTCTTGTTGTACATATGGAGCACATATCGGATGATTTACCACTGTCATAAGCAAGTCATGGCTCAGCTTCCTTGACAACAGGACCCTCTCGCTGAGCAGCGCATGTGAATACAGTGCTCTTTATAAAATGAAACGGACGAGCAAACAGCCAGGTCGCTAGCAGGTCTATCTCTGTTATTGACCACTGATAACTTCGAACTCCCTTCGGCCGGGTGTTGGAACCATATTTCGGATAGCTTTGACGCCTACTAAACCTACAGCAGGTCTTTAACCGACACTGTTATCTTGTTCTCCACTCTGAAAACATGAAGATACTGAAAGCCGTGTGGTGGTTCTCCTGTTGACGAATCTTGGGCGAAGCTGCCACGGCACCGTCTTGGAAACCGTACATCAGCGGGTATTTAATGATATCGAAAAGATCGTTTAGGCCTGTGATCAGTTTGCCAACGTTCATGATTGAGAGTTATTCTGGGATTATCCCAAAGGCTGTCCGGGGTGTCTCGCCTCATGCCTCGAAAAGAGAATTATGTATTGTCGCTACGTTGGATCAGCTACTGCATCTCGTATCACAGAGCATCTGTACTCTCCAGAAGTACCCTCACACAGGACGCTAAAACATTGTAGGTAAAGAGGATGGTGGTGAAAATCAAGAGGAGAAAGATCGGGCTATTAGAAGGTTCACTATTTAACTACTCACATAGAACCCTTGAACATGAGGATATATGGATAGCGTTGCTGTGGATTATATCCGGAATGCAATGGTGGCCGTTAATTGATATGCCTTCGATTAACTGGATCTGCTGGGCTGGTTTATACATTGGTTCGATAATATGGAGTCTAGCTCAGGCGACTATTATCTGTTTTGGAACGACCCTATGCTCCTGGCGGATATCACAACCCGAGAGGCATTTTGGTGTCTAGCTAGCTCCTCATTGACGCCGCACTACCAGGTTCAGAATACTATCCCTGGAACCTTGACATGTTCAAACCGAAAATTGAGTAACAGAAAAGTCTCCTAGATCTTGATATAAGGCATGACACGCTTTTTGACCTGGACTTCTACGCATATGATGCAGGAGACACCGGAGAAGGAAATGTGGTAGGCTAGTGTGCCTCATGGAGGACGCTGCAACTAGTGCACGAATTCTACCACCCACCATCCACATCTGCTTTTACAGGGGACCTTAATAATATGCTAACACTTTACAATACTCGATTCATGTCGCCGGTCCTTCTCTACCTCCAACACTACGACGCCTTTAGCAGTGATCGAAAGACCATTTCCTCAATGTCGACTGCGTGGTCCTGCAGGGCCAACACTGCTGCGTTCGCAGAATTGACATCTCCTCTGCATATGATCTCCAGCTGTGGCCGCTTGCAAATCACTCTGCACAAAATAGTGTTTATTTGCTATTACCTACGCAGTGGTTATTCGACCATGTCCTCTGATTACTCCACAAGCCGCCAAATGGAAAAGACGAATTCTTTGTCTTTGCACATGGGGTCCTCTTTTTCGACGGCAACAATCATAGAGCTCTGCAAAGACCTAACAAGCCTTTCACGCGATGCTAGTCAGGATACCTTACGCGAGAATTCACATCCGTGAAGGTCGAATTTGTTAGCTTCTAGCAGGATGCATTCCATGTACTTATGCATGGTCTGGATGAACTCAGTACGTGTTGATAAATTCAATGACAACCGAGGAGAGACAGTATCAATGATTCTGATGTTGGGACAGGCAATGGGGTTTATGAGAGGTTTGGTCATATGAAGATGTCAGTAGCATCATGCTGCACGTGTACTCGAGTACTCCGGATGATTCGGCCAGTATGCATCGGACGCTCATCTAAGGATTCTTTATAGTGACGAGTTATGACCAGTCGTACTGCAAATGTGGACCCTCTACAGAAAGGATGACCCTTGAAACGTACAAGACGATCTGATCCATGGCGCAGAGGATCTCCGTTAGCAGCACCAGTGCAATTAATGGCCCAGAATTTACCCTCCGGTTTCGATACAAGAAGTAACAGTCAAAGTTCTTTGAATCAAACCAGAATCATTCTATTGACAGACCTACCATTAGAGCTAGGTCTGCCAGTGGTCGCAACATATACAGACAAGCGCTGGGGAATTATCTTTAAGGGATACTGCATTTTAAAAGGTGACCAATTGGACGGCTCCGTCCTTGATTAATCGATACTACGGCGAGTTGTTGAAAGATTGCAATCTCGAAACCGGCAGCCTTGAATACCTCATTGACCGATGTCATAACGCTTCGTAAACCGATGCAATTTTATCGACTTAGCACTTTACAAATGGACCAATGCTGATGGCAGAAAAGCGTTTCGGATACCTTTCAGTTGAAATAAGACATCTATCTCCGTTTCAATCAAATTCGGTCCCCTGCGGTCTATTTCGATGATTTTTGTATGTATACGAAGCGGCCAATTTTGCTAACAATACCGAAAGCGTCAGATGGAAGGATTCCATATCTAAGACTCCCATCGCATGCAACCTTGCAGAGTACGGGGCTGGATGGAGGAAAAGTGCTAACTAAGGTATGGAGGTAGGGTTGCTAGATGTTCGTTAGCGTGTCCTTACCGAGACTCGCTTGAACTAAGAATCCTTCGATTAGCACTATGGATGTCACATGTCTAGTCACATGCTCAACACTTATAGCTTTAGATAGTCAACCCACCTTAGAACCAGGAGGAATACAATCATACCATACCAAGAAGAATCATCAAGGAACCGCTTTCCGGTTAGACCGTAACAATGGATGACTTTTGTCTACTATGATGAATAAACGGTCTGTTTGCATGATGGCCTTTACGGTTGTAAACTCGATTGTCACCAATAAAGCTACATGTGGAAAGATGCAAGGATTGGATTTGCATGGCTAGTTTATTGTCAAATTTTGCATAGCTAGAAATTTTGCAGCATAGCCTGATGCATCGTTGACCACTAAAACTTTCTTGAACGGTAACTGGTGTTGTTTGTCCCACTCCCGTAGGATTAGATCCTGATAAGCCGGAAGGTTCATTAATGCACCCGACAGAATGAGTGCACATTTACGGGGGTCACAGATCTCAGCCAGCGGTTTGATCTGCTGAACCAAAGTGCCGGCTGCGGATGTTAGGACTCCTAGCGCTTGAGGGTCGGGGTCTCGTTCCCTAAACCCTAACTTTGTGACAACCTTCGCCATGTCGCCGATCTTCTCTTTAGGAGTACCAGTCGAGTGGTATATGTCTCTAAGCACGCCTGCTTCGTTCGAGTTGAGTTCTTCTAGTACTGCCCTCTCGAACTCCGTGAGCTTGTGAGTAGCTTGAAATTGCTTTTGCTCCACACTGGACAAAACAAGCTGAAGTGCTCTCTTTCCGATATCAAAAGCGCTCCCTTGGTCCCCAATCAGGTAGCCCCAGCCTCCGGTCCGACCAACTTGGACAATCTCGTTCGAAGGCCCCTTCCTGAAGGCGGTTGCTACCGATCCTGTCCCGGCGATCACGGAAATTGCACATTCGACCGAGTCATCCATTGCAATACAGGAGCCGAGGAGTATACCATCACTGGTCAAGCGTAGTGTTCCATGATTTATAGAAACACCAAAAAGTTCCTCCAGACGACGCGTCAATGTTGCAATCTGGTCCGCATGGTACAGCCCAGCCAGTCCTACCCAGACCTTCGAGAATCTTGGTAGATCGGGAGAGCCAAATCCCTGCTTTGCAAGCGCCATCGAGGACGCCTGCTTTGTGGCCAATTCTATTTGACCCATAAGTTCCTCTAGAGTGACTGAGTTGAAATTACAGGGACCAGCCACCCCTTGACCAACAACCATGGACTCTGTTGCAATCGAAACAGTGCAGTTCGTTCCACCACCGTCAACACAGAGACAGTAGTCGGGCTCACCAAGAGACACGGGACTTGGCGGGGCTTTCGTTCTAATTCCTTGGACAAAAACGTGGAAGTTACCACCTGCAGAATGAAGTATCTGCCTGGCAACATCCGGAGGAAAGCCGGAGATAGCTACCGCACAGGCTAACTTGACACTGCCCTGACACTCCTGGATTAGAGAGTCAATGATCGCATCGCCTTCAGCTGTTTCGGGGATATCCATAGCCTGTGACGATGGTAGCCCGTTCATCTCTATGATATGCATCGGGGCTCCATTGCAGACCTGGCGCACGATTCTTCTTCCACGCGCCTTCAGTTTCCAGTTATTTACACGAACATCAATCATAAGACCCTTGTATGTTTTGCCAAGCTTTACCATAGAGCAGGTACTGATCATGTTGAGGATTTGTTTAGCAGCGCTGCCTGCTTTGAGTCTAGTGCTGCCCGTGAGAAATTCGGGACCAACTAAAGGACATATGATGTGTTTGACTCCGACTTTGCCAATTCTAGACGGATGAGTGTTCGTAATTCCAGCTGTGAGTGCATCATGCTGAAGAGCTACTTGAAGTGCTCCTAGAACAAATGGGGTTCGTCCCGACGCTGAGATGCCAACCACTGTATCCTTTTCATTAAGCTGGAGGGCCTCCATCCTCAGAGCTCCGTCACTCTCCACATCCTCTGCACCTTCTTGGGCTTGGATTATGGCTTCAGTACCCCCTGCAACGACGGTTAGAAACTGTTGAGGGTCGACCGAGAAGGTCACTGGCAATTCACTGCAATCCATGAACCCGACTCGGCCGCTGTTGCCGGCTCCGACATAGATAAGCCTGCCTCCAGCTTCGAGTCGCGGAGCTAAATCGTCAATCAATGATGCAATAGCGGGGAGGCAGCATGCGACAGCGCCTCCGACTCGACTCTCCTCTTTGTTGAACGCTTCACAGAGGCCCAGTGTGTCAAGAAGATCGATCTTGTCCGCCGTTGAGGTTCGGGCCTCTGTCTGCAGTAGGTCCAGACGTTCAACATGTTTCGATGGCGCCATGATCTGGACGCTAGTGACTGCACGCGATACCGCTAGGGATTTTCATGGGTTCGGTATACTGTTATTTTTGGAAGAATTTAAATACGTTTCAGCAAGGTTCGCCATATACTATAGACCGGCAAGATATGGCGAGAAGTGGCACTCGGTTGCCGATATCCGCCCGAGATCCGTATTGCACCTCGAGCCAAAATGGCACGTTCGCCTAGTGTGCAGTAGCTCACTTTAGTCTGGCACTCTTGTTCGGCATTCACGACTTAGGTCTCTTTAGCAAATGTAACTTCATGAACCGCTAATCCTGTTCTGTTCTGGATTAATTTATCATCCCTACCTCGTCTGATTTCCGCTTGGCGCGATGGGAGACCAGAATTTTGCTGCACCTGTGGCTATATATACACGCCTGCCTACTTCCTCCGACTGTCATTATTCCCAGTGACTCCTGGTCCGCTGGCACAATGTCCGAAATCAAGTCCGCCGAGCCAGACGTAATCTCCTCCCATGAGAATGAATTTATTCCCCCCGGGCCAGCCAAAAATATCTGGTCCAGAATATACCATGATCCGTGGTTTCAAGTGTCATTGATTTCATTTATTTCTTTCTGCAATCCGGGCATGTACAATGCTCTCACTGGAATGGGAGGCTCTGGCCAGGTAGACGGTACTGTTGCTGCGAATTCGAATGTCGCGACTCATGCATGCACGGCTGGCGCGGCCCTGGTGCTAGTGGGCGCATTCTACAAATACCTTGGTCCTCGATTATCTCTTCTTATCGGAGGATGGACCTATGCTTTATATGCAGGGTCCTTACTGCACTTCAACAGAACGGCAAACGGTGCATTTGTAATTGCAGCTGGTGCGATTCTCGGTCTTGGTGCCGCTTTCTTTTGGGTGGCCCAAGGTACGATCATGGTTACCTATACCAATGACAACACCCGTGGACGAGCCATCGCTCTCTTTTGGGTTGTTTTCAACCTCGGAGGAGCTATAGGCTCTCTTGCCAGTTTCGGGTTGAACTACCACTCCAAATCTGGCACTGTGACCGACTCCACCTACATTGCCTATATCGTTGTTATGCTGTTTGGGTGGGCTCTATCGGTGTTTGTGTGCTCGACGGAGTCACTGTCTCGTAAATACCACGGCAGTAGGATCTCACAGGACTCAAAGACCCTCAACTGGTCCAACCTCAAGCGTTCGATTATGCAGACAGTCAAGATTGTCTTCGACTGGAGGGTTATGTGTCTGTACCCCATGTTCTACAATGCCAATGTGTTCTATTCATACCAGCAGAATACCGTGAACGGCAAGACCTTCAACCTGCGCACACGCTCGCTCAATGGCGCATTGTACTGGATCGCTCAAATGGTGGGAGGGCTTCTGATGGGCTCTGTCCTAGATCTCAAGGGGATCAACCGCCGAGCCCGAGCATGGATTGGCTGGGCAGTATTATTTGTCACAGGGATGGCAATCTGGGGAGGAGGCTACAAGTTTCAAGTCTGGAATGACCAGCATATGCAGCTCGGCTTCAAACAGGACATTGACTACAAAGCTGGTAGTCAATATCTCGGCCCGATGTTCTTGTACTTTTTCTACGGCGCCTATGACTCGTTTTGGCAATCGTATTGCTACTGGATTATCGGGGCGCAGTCCCAGAATCCTGTAGTCAATGCCGTGATTGTTGGCACTTACTCTGCTCTTAAGCCTGCGGGGGGAGCCATGGCTTGGCGAATCAATGCGAACAAGCTCAATGCCATGTCCGAATTTGCTATGAATTGGGGACTTTGCATTGGTAGCCTTTTGGTGGCAGTTCCCGCCGTGTTGACGCTAAGAAAGGGGAAAGAAAATGCGGAAACAGACCACTGTTGAACCGGTAGTAACTAATGGCTATAGGCCAGAAGGCGCTTCTGATGAGTGAAGGACTTATGAACAAGATATGGTTTCCCGCCGGTAATTTTTGACAATGTTATTGGTCCTATTGGCCGAGAGAATCTGTATGCGGGGATTCAGTGGATGCTCGTGCCTTCATCGCAAATAGATAGTAGATTAATATAGGCTGTTTCATTTAATATATGAAACTGTAACCCTCAGACAGGGTCCAGACCCACAAGTCGCTCCAACTTTTAGGGGGTATTGATATTAGTAAGAAGAATAATATTAGTTAGTTAGTGATGATTGTCTCCGATTCCACTAGTTGAGTACGAATCTTTATGTTGACATGTTACTGAACTTTAACTAACCTTTTCTTTTTGGCTTTACTATTTGCACATATAACGTCGTTTCTTTCAGCGCTGGCAATATTTGGCGTCAACACCCCCACGGATGGCGACTTTTAGATTGTTACGTGTTGGGAAATGATATACGGAGTAGATGATCCAACACGCCGGTCGGGTTAGGGCTGCGACTGGGCCAACCGAGAGGCGGGGTTTTTCATAGCCGAGATCCGCCGATAGCGGCTGTCGGGCTTTGTCTCGGGGTTCGCGATTTCTGCCATCCATGGCTGCCTCAGGCGCCAGCAGAACAAGAACCTCGTATAAGAAAGTGGTTCTGGACACCGATCTCCTGTGCGGACCCAGAGCTTCGTCCTCACGACCCACCTCATAGTGCCGGGCCATGGGCGGGTCGAGAAAGTTTGCTAGCTGCCTGATCTGCCGCCGGCGGAAGGTACGTGCCTAGACTACTAGCTTCAAGCGATATACCAACCCGTGTCTACGATTCCACCTCCTCTAACCTCAACACAACTAGATCAAATGTGACCGCAGTGCGGGCTTCTGCAACAACTGTCGCAATCTTGGCGAACAGTGTGTATATACCACGGACGCTGGCACGGATACCAACGTGACAGACGATGGACCTACATCCAGTGACTCCGTGACGCAGGCTGGGCTTAAACGACGACGAGTCCTCCGGTCCTGTTTAGAATGCAAACGAACCAAGTCCAAGTGCTCGGGCGGCTCTGCATGTACCCGATGCACCAAAAAGGGCCTGCACTGTTCGTTCCATGAAGAGGAACCCAACCCTCGAGAGGAGACTTACGTTCAGGGATCATCCCATGCGATCCCGACATGGCTAGTCATGAGGAATCTACCACCAATTGATCGGGTGCGAGAGCTCATTGACATTTATTTCGCTCAAATTCATACAGTCCGCTGTATGGGGTTTTTGCATATTCCGACCTTCATGGAGCGCTTCAAAGACAGGAAGACGATCTTCACGGAGATGTCTGGCTTAATCTATGTCATGTGTGCATTGGCTGCTCCATTTTACTGTGCACGGGTGATTGCCGCCAAGGAGGATGGACCTAGCTCCACCGTGCTATTCTTTGATGCTGGAAGGGGCTGGGCGGAAGCCGCGATGCAATCGATGTTCTCGAGCTTTGGGAGTCCGCGAATCGAGTGTCTCATTACAGGGGTCCTTCTCCATGAATATTACCTGCGCGTCGGCGATTATGCCAAGGGATTCCTGATCTCAGGCTTCATCGCGAGACAAGTTCAACTCCTACAGCTGAATATGGAGTACGATGATGACATCCTGTGTCGGAAAAGTAAGATGTCATGGGCTGCGAAGGAGACTAGGAGACGCGCTCTATGGGCGTGTTATCTCCTCGATGCTTCCATAGAATGCGGTATCAACCAACTTTGCCTCCTACCCTCCAGCGATATTTACGTGCAGCTCCCCTGCTCCGAAGACCTGTTTGTGCGTAACATCCCTTGCAATACAGAAATGTTGACTAGGGGCAAACTACTTCCCTTCGCAGACACTTCAGTGGTGGGTGCGGTTGGGAATCTTGATATCCGTGCATATTATATTAGAGCAATGGCTATTCGCTCCAAGATCTTGAAATATGTCAAGCACTTGGAGGGTGAAATTCCCTGGGAGGTCACGGAAAATTCTCAGTTCCATAAGCTCGACAGTGAGATCAGGGAGCTTGATGCTTCCATCCCGGACAGCCTCTCAATGTCCGCAGAAAATATATACATCTTCAAGGGCTCCGGTCGCTTAAACTTGTTTTTCGGCGTACATATTCTCATTGCTCAGACATTCAACGACTTGTATCGTGTTGGTGTATCAAGACTGGTATTCCCGAATACGGCGACTAAATGGATCCGGGAAAACGCTCCGGTTGAATTCATCAAGCTCTGCCATCGCACCTGTATCAGCAAGGCCGTCTACATTGGGGCCTTATTAAAAGACCTCTGGAACTGTCACAAGTTGAGCATCATTGACCTTCCCTATGCGGTGCACACACAGATATGCAGCAGTGTCCTGGTCACCAGCCTTTCCTCATGGAAAGAGCCCGAACCCCCGTTACCTCATGTATCCCACAGCGACTATCAGAGTATATTGCAGACCAACGTCACAATCTTGAAATACCTCCAACGGTATATCAAGGCAGATTTGTACTATGAGTCAGCCACGCAGGCGCTAAAGCACTTCAACACACGATTCTCACAGGAACCCCCCGAACGCAGAACCACTGGATCCCTAAGAGAATCCAGTCCGGTAGACAACGGCGATCAGATTAGACCCTCCCAGTCGTCCTTGGAGCATATTCTGAACCCACTGGGCACGTATCCCATGGCTCGCAAGCAGGTGCAACACTATGACCAGCAACATGCGCGTGATGGGACGTCCGACAAGCCATCAGTCCCGCAGTCAGAGATCGCAGCCTCATGCCCATCCACCGATAATCCTGCGAATATGGATGGCTTCTTGGGTTTCCAAGACCAGTCCTTTTTCAGCCAATTTCCGGACTGGGCGCCCGACATCCCAATCATGAATGACATGGGCTATCCTACGTTTCTGGATCAATACCCCGTTAGTATTGGGGATGGGACATTGGTGATTTAGTAGTCGAACATAGTAAACAAGGGAACTACCTGAAATGAGGTCGGGTAGATTATGTACACAACATGAACGCTCTATGAATGTTTCCAATAGAAGACCTGTACGGTACCTATTACGAAAGCTTCGTAGTAGTAAACCGAGCAGAACAGACAGAACAGAGTGGTTCCGAGTTGGGGAGGCCCGAGACATGCCGAAAGGTCTGCAGGGTTCCGGGGCCGTGTCAATGAGTCAAACGGAGAGGAAAGAGACTCCCGAGTCTATTAAATCATCATTTTTCCCCCGCCAACCATCCCTCCTCTCACCTCCAAACAAAACATAACTATTCCATTAATCCCACACCATGCCCCAAACTCTACGCTTCGTCACCCTCGACGTCTTCACTACTGAACCTTTCCTAGGCAACCCCCTAGGTGTAGTTTTCCTCCCCAACGACCCAGAAAATGCCATCACGCAAGAACAAAAGCAACTAATTGCCCGCGAGTTCAACTACCCGGAGACGATCTTCGTGCACCCGCACGAGAAATCCGACCCCACCAGGCAGATCGACATCTTCACCACAGCCGAAGAACTGCCCTTCGCAGGCCATCCCACCATCGGCGCAGTAACATGGTTCCTGGAACTATCGCCCGACAATGATGATCGCACCAAGGTGCACACTCTCATGACAAAAGCGGGTCCGTTTGCCATGACCCGCGTCCCGAACTCGGGTACCGTTGCTGCGAGAATTGCGCATCATGTGCATATCCATTCGAAACAGTTCCCGGTGGCGGAATTGCTGCGGCTTCATCCTTCGCTGAGACCTTATCTTGGGGGGGATGATGATACTGCGGGATTCCCGGTTTTCTCGATTGTGAAGGGAATGAGTCAGGTGCATGTTCAGTTACCTAGTTTGGAGGCTTTGGCTGCGGCTGAGGGACCGGTGAGTGGAGAGGTTGTTCCTTGTACTTCCGTGGTGCAGGGTGGGTATCTGGATGCTGGGTGGGAAGGGGAGGGCTTGATTGTTGTGTATTTCTTTGTTCCGGGGGTTGATGATGAGAAGACTGGGAAGACGGTGATTCGGTCGCGGATGTTTTTGAGGAATTTTGAAGATCCGGCGACGGGGAGTGCGGCGAGTGGATTGGCTGCGTATTTGACTTTGACTCGGGCTGGGGAGTCGAGGAAGACTGCGTATGATTATGATATTGTGCAGGGGGTGGAAATGGGGAGGAGGAGTGATATTGGTGTTGCCGTGACTCTGAATAGGGAGGATAGGGAGAAGGTGGAGAGCGTTGAGCTTCGGGGCACTGCGGTGCAAGTGAAGTCGGGTGAGATTAGGGTATGATCTGGAGTAGTTTCGAACGTGTCTTGAGATTTTCATGACTCGTTCACGGATTTGATAGCGTCGATGAGGGATAATCATGAAGGTCAGTGTATATTTTCCCAGAATATGGAAGTAATTTTATGCTAGTCTCGGTTTGTTTCTAAAAGCATAGTCAATTTTGCTGTTGTCTGAAACTACTGGGACAGGCAATGTATTTTGTACTCCGGACATAGAGAGACCATGAATATGGACACTCCCCTATTGACAACCTAGTCTGGCATACTGAGCATCCGGGGGTCATACCTATGCCACAGGACTAAATGGGCCAACTATGCTTGGTCATTTTCTACCAAGCATACCCTAGAGGCTAGGCTGATAGTATAACTAGAGCTGATTTCAATATGGCTATTAGCCTAACATTTGTATTTTATTTACCCATTATCAAAGACATTCGTTTACTAAAATAGAATGAGACTGATCTAGAAAAGGCTTAGCGCGCCAGTCGGCAGCTCTCCACGCAGTCTCCGGTACATATATTGGTCATGATAATCGGAAGAGCAACTGGCGGTTCCAGGCCAAAGCAGAGCGGCACGATGAGTGGGAGTGGTTTTGTGCGCGTCAGCACCCAGATGGTGGACATATCTTACTGGTAAAGCACTGAAGTGAGTTCTTGCCGATGAGAATGGGGGTAAAGACGACCGGGAATTAATGGTGGATGCGAAACGAGAGGGTGGCACCGTTTGGGAGTCTATCAGAGCTGATTCGGAAAAGTGATTTCGCGTTATTCAGACGTAGGGATTGTCAGAGACGGTTGGGACTTGTAGCTCAGTGGAAGTGTATTTGGCACCTGCTAATCTGAACCCTTCAAATAGTTGAACAAATCTACGAAATCTTAGACAAAGCTATCTCTGCTGAAGCATTTTATAGAACAGTTCATGGAAGTAGTTCGGTCAACGCCGTCCAACAGACCCTCAGAGGCGTACTTTGTTTCTTGGCGGAGAGCCCTGTAATTAGAGGAAGTCCTATTGGGTAGCTAATAAAGAACAACATAATTAACACCCGTTATTGTATAAGCACCAATCATAGTACGAGGCCGTAAATAGAAACTTGAGATTTGGGCAACCGACAAGGCTGGCCCCACGCCTCAGCCCCCTAGGCTCCTCACGACGTACAGTTATCTATCCTGTGCCGGTCAGTTTGCCCTTTCTTTCCTTAACATCCGATAATTGCTTTCAAACTTGATACTTTGCTTGTTGGCTCTGAATATTGGGTCTTCCACCCACTTCCATTCAGAGGTCTTTTGAGTATGGAGAATTATCGCTATCTCTCCCCTAGTGATGAGGTCGAGCTTGGGGCATACAGTCCCGAGCTAGTCCATGAGGAAAGCTGTCTGTATAATCCTTATATAAAGCAGTTGAAAAATGATTGGTATTGTGTAAGTACAAGATCCCTATTGGAGGTTCTCAGAAATAACTCGAAATGAAACAGTGTGTGAGCACTTGCTATGCATACAACAAGGCAGATAATTCTGTCTGCAGTGAATGTAGCCACGAGAAATGTGCAGAGTGCCAGCATCCGATCCAGATGACAGCAACGGTAACGACTAGAGGGTATATGTATATATGTGTGAGTAATTATTCTCTCTCTATGGTTTTCCATCCCCGACCAACTCCAGTAGGACAGTCTATTGCTAACTGGACATTGAACAACATGAAGTGCCAGTGCGGGGATGGCCCTAAGGTCTACGACAAACAGCCCCAATGTGTTATGTGTGCCCATGTGGTGTGTTCTTATTGCTACCCTGTCAAGTGATGATGTTGTCCCGTGGCTCCTTTTATTTTTATTTTTTTTTTAGCAGAAAGTATTTGCACTGGATAGTATTGTGACCACACATAGTGCTACATCATATCGCTTTCACACTAGTAAACTTCATCCTGGAAACTAGAAGTTGTAGCCCAAATGCTACTGCAATAGTACATCCTGTCAAGCAGAAAAGAGAGACCCAGTATTTCCACCATGCAATATCTGAAGCAACCTGGTTCATACTGAAAGCACCCTATGTAAAATACGATTAGCAATTATGTATACTTAGATGACAGGGTATCGCAACTTACAGTCACAAGTGTCACGGGAAGGTAAACCTGACTTGTTTAGACTAGGTATATCTTTGATAGATAGAGTGCGTCTATACTCACGATGGTTATATAGGTAAGGAGTCTGATATTGTCCCCTTGCCGGGTAGCTGTGATACTCTCAGCTAGCGATGAGGCGTTCACCAACTTTGTTCTGTATAAGTTCATCTGTCCTGTGATAAGGGGTTTATAAGGATAGCGTGAGACATACAACGCCTGACATCTTCTCTAGCATCTCAATCCGTTGCTCTAGGACCATCTGTAGCCTCGCAAGCTCGGCAGTGGACTGGCGGACCTGGTGGAAGCATTCGCGAAACTTGTCGTACAGAGCGCCGTCAGTATCAAGATTGAAATAAATGCTGTTATTCACGTCGAACGCGGTCCACGTGGCTATCAGCCGGGCAAGGCAATTGCGGAGACGGCGCAAAGTGCAGAGTATCCATGTGTACTCCTTCGTTTTCGATAAAGACGGCTCATCCTCGAGAAACCGGTCCAAGGAGTCCTCGTCGATCTCTCCCTTCACAGAAGGGTTGACTTAGTCGCTGAACACTGCATACTTTCGTAAAGGGACAAGGTTCGAGAGCTTACGTGCTTGCCAAGGTCATTCTCTAGAGTTTCAACCAGTACTGTCCATTCCATAGCGACCTGGCTCATTCGGATTGAAAGTATAGAAAGGAAATAGTACCGTGGATCCCATATGGGGAATCTGCACATCCGAAGACCGAAGGAAGGCCCATCTACCTCATCCTGAAGGTAACCAGTGACTGGATTCTTTTCTCTGAAATAGGAATCTTCGCAGAGGTATGCCGTCCAAAAATAATCGTCAACCCCAAATACCACTAGGGATAATTGTGCTTCATAAATACAATCACTATCGTGTGATGCTGGCGGTCGGAAAAAACGATGCTTTCGTAGCCCCCGACGATCTTGAAATTTAGTGTGACTGGGTCGTAGAACATAATGCGGTAAATGGAACTCTAGGGTAAACCCACGAATCTGGACGGTCAGACGGGAATGCACCAGTGGAGATTGGTCATAGTAACGAAATAGTAAACAACCTGAGAAATGCCCATATGGGAGTCAAAGGCTACATGCCTGGATAGAAAAGATCTTATCTGCGGAAGGTGCATGTACGTAACGCTTGAGATCAGCGCCAGCCCCATCAGGGGTGTCAGGTCGACTAGGTATCTATTTAAAGCGTCAGATTTCCATCCGGTGGTTATGTGGTCGATATATCAATCCGGCCTTTTATGGGTTATTGGGACATACAGTACCCGACGCTCTGCGATGCCTTTCCGCTGCAACTACGTAAGTAAAATGTCCAAGTGTCATACGTTGCATTTCTCACATTTTGGTTAAGACGATCATACAGCGTCTCTGCATCTGCCCCGTAGATCTGACAGTGTATCCCCTCTGGAGGACGACTCATGTATTCGTCTGACTCCCATTGCCTCATGGGTAGGAACGATGTGCTTTCCGGAATATCGTTGAACCGTAAACAAGGGTCGCATCTATCGTCAACCATGGCCAGCACTCGTGTATCAGCTGGAGTAGTCCTCAGGGCTTCTGGAAATGACCGCGCGCCGGTCTGACCGAGGAATTTCCGCAGAAGCTCATGGCGCCGAGGGGGTGCAAGGTCTGGGTTAGAGCTATTGAAGAATTCGTCAATCACAGATCCTCCGACGGAAACTCTCAGCCGATTGTCCTGGCCGTGATAAATGGTAGTTTGGCGAACGGAAAATTCCTTTCTCCACTGCGCATCATGGACCGTCGGTCGATACCGGGAAATCAAGAAGGGTTCCATCAGTTTTGGGGTTGAATTCCTCGCATGGCCCAAGAGTACAGGTAATGGACTAGCTTTACGTCTTATTCAAGGCTTGGTGCTAAGGAGGCTGGTCTTGCTCAGCCTCGTTGCGGGCCACAGCCTTGCTGGGGCTGTTGCGTCCAACTCATAGGTTTATTGGGTGAGTGACTTCATGGGGCTTATGCAGCTCTAGCTTTGTATTGGGAAGGCTAGCACATGATGAAATTATCCTCCATTCGCAGTGGCACACTGACATCTATTAAGAAATATTAATTAGCTTTACTGGTGTAGTTGAGATAATTGTCGCGAGTTTTTACTAACTCTCGCGTCCCTGTCGACCCACTATCGCAGCGAATCGGAAAGACATGGACATATAATCTATTAGGAGGTACTCAGAGTTTATTTTCAAGACTTCAAATCACCTTTCTCAATCATATATTTCCAATCTCTGGCTATGCTTATAGCTAAGCCCTTCGGCATTGGTGGCAGATTATATAGAACTTTGTATAAGTTGATAGGTATGCACTAATGATCTGGATGTTGGCTGAGGTAACTAATGAACGGTCGCGATTAAGTAACAACCAAGCTCAAACTGGGTAATACATGACACGAAACGAATTAATTTACTTGGATCCATATAGTTTGTTCCGATTCTTGGTTTCAAACGTTTGTATTTAACAGTTGTCCAATACTTAATTTTCATAGTCAGGTCTTTATCTTCTGATCTTATATAATCTATAATCTATAAAAGAGATTTCTTTCAAGCTCTCAGCTTGACCCAACCACCACTTACGAGGCCGCCTCCTTGGCGAATGTCTCGAAGAGGGTCTGAAGGCGACGACCTTCACTATCAGCAACGTCGGAGTAGTTAGCAGCAGCGCCGAAGGGATGGTATGGGAATGGTCTAAGTGTCATAGAATATGTTAGCACATGCGCAGATAGAGCATCTAGACGGGAAGGAAATGAAGTTGTTGAAATCCATAGCGACGACGTCGAGGTAAAGTCAGGGCCACATACCCGTATTCAGGAACAAAAGTAACTGGGGATGAGTTCCTTCGGACAATCGACTGGATAATCTGTTTCCAGGAATCTTCAAAAAATCGCCTTTCCTCTTTGAACACGTCGTTGGTGGGCTCTGGGCATTGCGACGATTGCGTTGTTCCGATTCTTGCATGGATATGGGTTACCTAGAGGGAAGTACGTGTCAGAACGTGGAAGAGAGCTCCGATGGGAATTGAAACTAACACGAGGAATGATAGTGCGGAGAAGTTCCTTGTCCTCCTCGCCCTGGTCTAGAAGACGTTCACAGGCGACAACGAAATGGGAGAAGTCGGCCGTAACTTGCAGACTAGGGTCAATCATTAGCTGAACTCTCATGAAAGTCTAATCGTGGACGGCTTGTATTACCTTGGGACCCTTTTCAAAACTGCCACGGTAGAGTATGGGTTGAAAAATACCCGGTTTCTATGAGTTTCATGGCTCACCATGCCTTGCAGTCCGAGCTCGGCATCGATGGCGAGAGTGCCCGTGAAGAATTCAACGGCTTGGTCGGTTGACCACCCATCACTGTTCTCATGGTCAATGTCACCCTCCCGTTATGAGGTATGGCTTGGGAACCGTACTCGCCAGAGTGTGCGTTAATCTTGAATGGCTTAAGAGTTTTGGCAATCTCGAGCTGGGTGCGATAGTTTTCAAGATGGTCTTTTGGAGTCAGGCCCACCGGCTTTGGACCTGCATAACAAGGCCATTTGGAATGGATCCTTGGGGTGTGGTGTTAAGAGTTGTTGTTTACATTGTAGAGATGTCGGGGAGGGAAATATCGAGTGGAGTTCACATGTGCAAGAGACTCACATAACACAGATTTCTAGGCCGACTTCATCGCAAAGGCGACGGATCGTGGATATGTTGTGCAGAGGAGCTATGTCAACTTCAATTCCCACTAAGATCGCACAGAACCTCGTTAGTCGACTAGGACTCCCGGGGAACTCTCACGTCTCTTACCGTAACCTTGATCTTTCAAGGTCGGAAGCCACTTTGCCCAGTTCTCGTAGTTATCGCCTGTGTCAACACCCCACGTGGAGCGGAATCGAAGGATTTGTGACATTGTGCTTGTGCGCTAAGTAGTAACAGGTGTGTGAACCGGTCAAAGTCGAAGAAAGGTGGAAATTGATGTTGCCTTCAATGCGCGACATCATCACAGGCCGGGGAAGATGCTTTATTTCTACTTCACGAATAATAGTATGAGGGGAAGAAGCAAGATCGAAAGAGTAAAGAACCACGCAGCGGGTCCGTTGACGCCATTGTCAAGATTAGGGCATGGGAGATCGTCTAAGTGGGGAAATCTTTCCCCATCAAGCATCGGGGAAAGATGCCGAGAACGGTAGAAGAGTCTCCACCTTCACCTTTTACGGAGATTATCTCCTAAAGCTTGGCCGTGAGGGGAAAAAGAAGTTCTATTGAAGTAATTCGACTACGTCGATAGCATTGCATTAGTATAGCGTGCCTTGATAGTGATGCGGGGTAGCTCTTGGAGTATAAAATGCCTATCGATCGCACCGCGATTTTTCCTCACAAGCGATAACTGTGTTTTCCGGACCTGAATTGTCGTATTCTTTCTTTTCAATCCTGTCGCAATGGCCCCAAACACTATGAAAGCGGTTAATTATGTCGGCCCTCATAAGGTCCGGGTCCAAGAGGTTGAGATGCCCAAGCTGGAACATCCGGACGATATCATTGTCAAGGTCACGACGGTGGGTTATCAACATTGCCGCATCTTGGGAAGACTTACTAACTCATGCGATAGGCCGCTATTTGCGGCTCTGACCTGCAGTAAGTATACTTTTGGGGGGTGGAGAGTGACGAAAAAATGCGCATAAAACTTATGATGCTTCAGCATGTATGAAGGGAGAACTGCCGCCGAGCCGGGTATTACATTTGGTACGAAGACATGAAAATAGCACGGTGGCTGTTACTGATGAGTCATAAAAGGTCACGAAAACATGGGTATCGTCGAGGAACTAGGAGAAGGGGTTACACTGTTGAAGAAAGGAGATCGCGTTGTCATGCCATTCAATGTTGCGGATGGTCGATGCCGCAACTGTGATGAAGGCAAAACGGCGTTCTGCACCGGTGTCAACCCCGGATTTGCGGGTGGTGCTTATGGTAATACATTAACACGGATGGATACGATTTCCTTGTGCTAATCTCCAGCAGGCTATGTGGCTATGGGCCCATATCGCGGAGGTATGTGCTTTAGCTGATCCTAAGACCAAACGTTGGCGAGTTGATCTGATTGGAATGTGAAGGCCAGGCTCAGTACATCCGAGTCCCGTATGCTGACTTTAACGCTCTGTTGTTGCCGCCGGGCACGGAGCATGAAGCCGACTTTGTTCTTCTCGCAGGTGAGTCGCCAGCGCTCTTTACCTTGTTGCCCTTTTCATTAACCAAGAGCTGTAGATATCTTCCCGACAGGTATGGAGTCACACAATCGCCCTCCCCTAGAGCCTCTGTATTAACGATAAACGATAAGGTTGGCATGGTGTCGAAATTTCTGGGTTCAAATCAGGAGAAAGCATTGCTGTGTTTGGTGCTGGCCCCGTTGGCTTGATGGCAGCCTACTCAGCCCAGCTGCGTGGAGCCTCTCGCGTCTTCGTTGTAGACCGTGTTCCAGAGAGACTGGCTGTTGCAGAGAAGATCGGCTGTACCCCAATTGACTTCACTAAAGGCGATGCCGTCGACCAAATTATTCGCCTCAACGGCGGAGAGGTCGATCGTTCGGTGGATGCTGTCGGCTACCAGGCCGTAGACACCAGTGGCTCGAAGGAAAAGCCCAACATTGTGCTTGAGAATATGATCCGTGTCACAAGGGCCTGCGGAGGCATGGGGATTCCTGGACTCTATGTGCCAAGGTTAGTGGTCACCCACACCATACCGTAATTTTATGGGGCTAATCTTCTCGCTCACTAGTGACCCGGGTGCATCTGATGAGGTTGCTGCTAAGGGCGCAATTAGTCTCAGTTTTGGAAAGCTATTCGAGAAGGAAAGCGTTTTTCCCCTAGCATCAGCTTGTTCACTTTACTAACTTGCTGCAGGGTCTATCTCTTGCTACTGGTCAATGCAATGTGAAAGCGTACAACCGGTACCTGCGAGATTTGATTATCGCTGGCAAGGCAAAGCCTAGCTTTGTCGTCTCCCATGAGATCAGGCTCGACCATGCGGAAGTTGCGTACGAGAAGTTTGATAAAAGAGAGGACGGGTATACAAAGGTGCTAATCCATCCGAACGGGGGATTCGAATCCACAACAGTGGGACAGGTTAGTTAAAACGTATCGGTCTATGTTCATACGAGCATGGTAGTTGCCTGGTGGAGGGTCTGAGTTTGCTGAGATAATTGGCAGGTTACGTCAAAGTTATGATTGATATTTTGGAAGTCCCAAGGCGCTAATAGTCTGAATTTGTTGGGTTGTGGGTTATTTACTGGCTCTTTATAGAAATTTATTTCTTTCAATTTTCATGAACATTTTATATGTCGTACTTAGAACTATCCAATGTTTAGATGTCTAATGGACTAGTGCAAATGACGAAGCAACAGTGGAATTTGATTAAATAAGAGAAGATGACATCGAAGATCTCTGTATAATACACCAAAGGAAGAAACAAGGATTAATCGTATTATGACACGGAACAAAACGAAAGGTGACCCGGGATAGAAATTGATTTAGCCAGAAATAGCGATATGGAACAGTAGAGGATTGTCCTTCTGGGTGCACAAAGTTGTGAGCGGGCTATCCCTTTACAACACTCCATGTCGCCGATGAGAGCCCATACGTCGGTGGTGGTGCGCGCGTTTGCTTGGCTGAGTTGCTGACGAGGTGGACGGAGGGATGGAGGCAGAAGGGGATGTTGATGAGCTGGGTGGAGCCGACGAAGGGGTAGTAGACACTGATGGCGTAATTGAGGAAGAGGATGGAGTTATTGAAGGAGTTGGATGGACACTGCTGGATGGAGTTAGGGTTCCTGAGGGAGTCGGGGTGCTGCTGGGCCCGGGACCAAGAGGATAACATTGTGATTCAAGTGGCGCAGTGTATTCCTGTACGTCCAAGTTGTTAGCGATCCAACCTTTCGGAGTGCTAAGTGCCACATACCGCAAGGATATGATTAACATCCGGTTCCCCGTTGTCATCGCCAAAGGTAGCTTCAAAGTTGAGACTAACACTCGCCGATGGGTCGACCGTGACGCCATTCTGTCGGTGTTTGGGATCATCAGGGCAGACTCCATCAGTTGCTATGTTATGTCAGCATTTCAAGAATCAGGAATTATACATCGGCAAGTGCTTACAATGTACAGCAGCCATAGTCGCAGCAAGATTCGGTTTCAAATTGAGACCGACCTCGACTCCCTTGCCTATGTTTGTTAGCCTGGGATATTTGTTCCTTGAGTAGAGGTATTACCTATCACCTGGGCAGAAATCTGCAATGATGCTTTAGGATGCAGCTCAATCGCACCCTCGATCTCCGCGTCAACCGCCACTGGAATTGGCTCCACCGAAGGCGTCCAGCCATCTGATTCCACACTACGTGATTCAAGGTCTATAGATACCACAGCAGAATCATTAAGGTTGGCAGTAATCCCAGCCGTGACTGTAGCAGAGCCAGTCAATGGGCCCATCATATATCCGAGACTGAAAACAATCTGAGGCCCGATGTTCAGGATACCACCTGGAATAGAGATACCACTAAGGGGAATCCTCCCGAGGTCAATCTCGCCGCTTTTTTGGTTCTTAAGGTCACCATCCAGTGCAACTCGTGGCATAAAGGTTGCTGATACACCGTTGGGGCTCAGACTCAAGCTTCCTGTCTTGGGAATTCCAGCAACAGTCTTCACATGGAAATCAAGCTCAAAGGCACCTTGAGTGCTGCAATCTGCACATTCCCAGGTAACATCAACACTGTCAACCGGGAGTCTTCCACTTTTCACCGGTATAGCTTGGTTGAAGTCCAGAGATGCCGATCGGTCGATATCGCGCCTTGCTGCGGAGGAAGAGGTCCTTTGTTTGCCTACATTGAGCTCATAGGTATGTGCGATCTCGTCCCAGCTTGAGCCTTTACCCTGAAGCTTCGTTGTCTTGGTGATTTTGTCGTACGTAACTTCAGAAACAATGAATGGAAGCCTGTTGGTGTTCCCATTGCAGGATCCCTTTGCAATCACTAACACAAATGTGCGGTCATCCATATCATTGACCCAATTCCAGGCTTGCTCTGCGTAGGTAAATGCTTGCTCTTCTTTGAAGTTTACTGCGACACTAGTGTCGGTGCAGTGAACAGATTCGAGCAGTTTCGCAAAACGCTCCATGGAAACAATGTTCTCTTGCTCGCCGGTAAGTGAGACAGTGAAGTTGGCAAAAGATGACTGGCCATCTTGTTTCCCTGAGAGCAAAGATAGGTAAGTGGTGATTATCTTGACATTTGAAGTCGCACTTACCACTGTAATAGAATGAATCCTGCTTGAGTAGATCGAGGTTCGAGTATTCAGATCCACGAAGAATTAGAGGATGCGGTTCTACTTGCAGATGGCTGATTTCCTCGAATACCAGAGACAGACCCTTCTGGGCGTGTAGCACAAGCCACGAAGCCAGCCAAGCGCGTACAAGATGCATCTTGGATTGTCGAGGCAAGATGAAGAATTGGGATGTTTCCTTTCAAGCTCTCCATGCTCATCGCAAGTGTCTTTATATCATCCAAGTCCACAGTCGTTTTATGAGACCCAGGGGCCGACAGGGTCCAAAGTGATGTTCTTTTCCATGTGGCTTTCTTCAGTTTCCCCTGCAGTAGTTCATCGTTTCGTCGCAAAGGATTGCATATCATAATTTACGAGGTCGTATCGACGAGCCCGGTGCTCCACAGGCCGAGTCGACGAATTCATATTTCGCTTAATGGCAATCAATTCTTGGGTATTCACCAGGGAATGATCGACAAGAGCCAATTCTCATATATTTTAGGTAATATATGGACCAGCGGCCCGTGAGAAAACATGAAGGGTACTTCGGCTCACTACCGAGAAGGTTGGCTGGATGGTCGGCACCTTGCCGATAGTATCGGCAGCGCCGACGCCCAGGGAACACAAGGACACCCAGGAACCTCGGGATATGTATTTAGGCCATAGATTCGCATAGCTTGAAGAGATTAGATTATCGGAGGTCGGGAGGGAACATTACCCGCCTGCAACATGGCACGATCAAAATGGAGCACCCATGCTTTCGCCCCCAACCTGATGCTGTGTAGCTTCGTTTCAGATTTCTTCCTACACCAGTATTTCCTCTACCCAGAATAGTATGTACATTTTGCCAAATTCCTTTTATAGTTACAAGGTATTTCTGCCTCCTCTAAATGGTTTAGTCCATATAGGGCCTGGCGTAAAAGCCTAATCTCTATCGCTGTTGTGCCACTATAATATTTATGATACAAGTCAACTGTCAATCATTCATCACTTTCATACCATACAATTTACCGGTTATATTATTTTCTCAATTACACTCCCCGTGTTGTTCATTATGGTGCGTAACTATATATACAACTTTACATATGATTATTGCCTGTCTAGTTTGTAGCAGAGTTATTTAAGCCAAATAAAAGGGAGCAGTTTGTAGACACAGTCTGACATACAAAGTATATCAGACAAGCTCATCCCCCCTCTGCAGGCTGGGAGCGACATCTTCCTCACTTGACGAGGCTTCAATAACCACAGCTTGGTGTGATGTGGGCTGATCGCCCTCTACAGGTTCTGGAAAGCCATCCATAATCATCTTAGGCTCAGTCTCAGACATCCTCATATTTGAGTCCATCATGCGTGCCCTTTTCATTCTCCTTCTCCTCCCATTCGTGACTACCCTCGCCATTCGCCCATTCGCTATCTTCATGATTCGTCTCCATGATTTCTCGCTGCGTATTTTTCATTTGCATTTTCAGCTTCCAGCCTGGCTGGACCAGGTTTTCTCCCACGATGGGGAGAACAATACTTCCACCTGCGCTGAGGTGCTCGTAATTACCCCGTGCAATGTCCTGTGATAAGGCGTTTCCATCTCCGGGGAACGCTTGTTTGATCACGTTTCCAGATGTTAGAGATGATGATCCACGCGAGATGTAGATGTTACTATAGCTTACCCCCCATGTATCACATAGGTCACACGGAAATATGAATGCCTTCCCATTTGGATCCTCCACAATAATTGTGGTGCAGCATTTGCGAGCGCTTCTGATCTATGGTTTTCACTAACAGAAGGTCCGGATGTAAATCGAGTGCCCGATGACTCCAGAAACATCACAGCCCTGCGGTGGGATTTTCTTTCTGTATCATTTGTTCCGCTTGCAACACGGCTTCGTGTTTCTCCTCTGCAGCTTTGGCCCCGGATTGAATCTCTGATGGAACGCGACGGGTGTTTGGTTTCCGTTGCGTAGCAAAAGAATCTCTCGTTCCCTGCGGGGGCACGACTGATTCTACTAGATGATAGGGCTTCCGTGTCTTTGCTGATGTAGAGCCGCAGTTCTTACACCCTGCACATGACTTGGCAATATTTAATGGCGCGAAATGGTAAGACGGAAGATCCAGCCTAGGAACAGCAATTTGCATCTCTGCTAATTCCGCTTCGATATGATGGTCTAGACTTCTCAGGAGTGCGGCCTGGATATTCCGCTGCATTCATTTGAGAAGCGAATTGTGAAAAAAAGACAGTATCCATATTTTCCCTTGCGGTAGATTCGAAGTCTGTTCCATCAAGAAATTGACGATCAAATTCAGACAGGCGTTGGGCGAGGTGCTCTCGGAACGGTTTCAGATTGGGGAGATGGAAACACTCGACGAGGAAATGTTTCTCACTGACAGATGACGAATATCCTCTCATATCGCCCATCTCGTCATACTGTAACCGACCAAGTTCGTTCTTGCATGTTCCACCAGAGCCGGATAACGAGCCGTTTGGCGAGCTGATGCAGAAGACCATTCTGCGGAGTGCAGTTAACCTATAGACCCCATTCGTTCAACGGAAGTACCATAAGGCTGAAATTGGCAACTGGTGGTAAGCCACAGAATATTACAATATTGTCTATGGACGCCAAACAATGTCTGCCACGTTTTCCCCTTATTCATCGCCTTTGTCAACAACTGATCGACAGTTTGTACAGAAACTCAATCCGGCATGAAGCCCCTTGCATGCCAATGACTTGTCTCACTTATGATCGACCATTCTATCGTAATGTAACCACTAGCTCTCGCCAGCCGTAGGGAGAGTTTCGTAATTTTGGTAAAGAATGGAAGGGCTGTAGCGCAAGGGATTCAGGGCATTGCTTCTACCTAAAGGTCCCGTGTCGGGACACACTTTTACTGACCCAAATTGTTCAATATATACCTAACAACATGGATGCAATTCGTTATTTCCTTGGGATGCGTGACCGTCGACAACCGAAGTCTACTGAGCTTGAATCCGATATTTATCCCGTTCACTTACTCGATGACGCGAAGTGTCTCCGCGGCTGCCCTTCCTACCTCTTCCGTTTTAACGATGTCCTTGATGCGAAGAGACTCTCAGATTCTCTTTCAAGACTCCTGGAAATAGGTGACTGGAGGAAGCTAGGTGGAAGATTCCGGCGCAAGGTACTGCTCGATGCGATGCGGATGATTATGATAATAAAAACAGCTAATCTTTTCATTTTTTTTTCAAGGCGGATGGCAGACTGGAAATTGTTGTTCCTAAACAATTCTCGGTCGACCAGCCATCGCTCACCTTCACCCACGATGTCTTTCATACCAGCATCGAAGATCATCCGCTCGGACGCCGGCTTCCTAAACCGACCAAGAGCTCCTCTGTGTTTCCTTTACCTTCAGATCTTCGCACTTTTGCAGGACCCGGCGCACCAGTGACAATCAAGGAAATAATTCAAGAGCAAACGCCGTTAACCACACTCCACATCACCTCATTCACCGATGCTACGATTGTTGTCTTTTCGTGGCCTCATGTCCTCATGGACGCTATGGGTACCCGATCTCTTCTACACAACTGGTCTTTAGTCCTGAATGGCAAAGAAGAAGAAGTATCAGCGTTAGCCTCGGCGCGAGAAGATATCATTGGAACGGAACTTGAGAAGAAGGAACAGACAGAAGATTTACTCAATGATCGAAAGCAGCTTGGTCCCATCCGACTATTGCTCTTCGCACTGCGGATCTTCTTCCAGAATATCTCCGGCCCCAGGTTCGAGGAGCGAACCGTGTTCATTAAGGGAAACTACTTTGATGAACTGAAAAGCCGAGCACAAAGTGAACACAGCCATGTAGCTTGCTGCAAGTCCGAGGCAAAAAATGCCTTTATTTCCGATGGAGATGTGTTTGCAGCTTGGGCAGTTCACATGGTGGCTTTATCCGAGCCTGGATTACGTTCAATATCATTCTATACCATCATTAACGCGCGCTATAGGCTCCCAGTTCTGCAAAGGAACCCCCGGGAGGAGTATATCCAAAATCTCCTTGCAGCTTCATATTCCAATTTTTCCCGTGAAATGGCGAGCGGTTGTCTAGGTCCCATTGCCCGTGTCCACCGGGAAAATATGTCCGAGCAGACCACAGAAGAGCAGATTTGGAGCTACCTTAGGATGCAGCGGGAACACATCAGGAAACGCAACAATTATAAGTACAATCCTGGCGACCGGAATGCCACACCAATAATCTTTAACAACCTCTCGAAGGGCGAAATTCTCCACGTGGTGGACTTCACCAGCGCTGTCCTCAAGCAAGGGGAGGCAGATGACTCAAGGAGCAATCCAATAGGGACTGCATTATGCTTCACGCCAATGGGGTCGAGGATGATCAATCAGCTCTTCGGGACCCCTTACCTTCATGTGCTTGGGAAAGACCATGCTGGGAATTACCGAGTCACTGCTTTGCTACGTCCTCAGATGTGGGCCAGGATAGAGGAAGAGTTGAATGCGTTCTAAAGAGAATAGCTAGGCATATACCCCCTATGACCTGATTAAAATGATCGGAATAATCTCGAATTGTCGTATATAGATATCACCTTGCCTCACGTAACTCCCTAAAAAGCTTTTAATTGTCGATGTACATGGTTATACCCCTTCGGCAAACTTTTATAGTATGCTGTAGCTAGAAGGGTAGGTACCTAGGCGGTCGCGCCGCTACTCAGCAACGTAAAAAAAAAAAGAAAAAAGAAAAGAAAAGAAAAGAAAAGAAAAATAAAAGAGAAAAAAGAAGACTGAGTATTACTTGTAGGTTATATGTCCATGTGTTTGAATTCAATGCAGTTAATGTGGTTGAGAGGGATTGGTCGGAGTCTCGCTAAGTGGATGCCAACTAAGGATGTCAATGTGGCTACCTCGTGGTGCGATATTACTGATGCGGAGACTCCGGAGGCGGCCCTAAAGGAATGCGATCAAATCTAATCAAGGGTGTTATTCAAGGCACCCTGGTCCTCAAAGTTATACCTGTTCCCTCAGAGTCTGGATCAAAATCGCGGATTGAATATCTAGGATCGACCATTTGACCTGATGACCAAAGAAGAATGGCAGCTGGTGCTGGCGCCCAAACTGACGGGGACCTGGGATCATCAGAACAAGCTACTTCAGGAGATGGACCTCTTTGCCCTATCCTCCTCTCTTAGTGGCATGATCTTCGTTATGGGCCAGTCACAGTACAACGCTGTAGGTACATTTCAAGATGTATTTGCCCTCCAACGGTGCTAACAAGGGCAAAAGTGCATTTCCATTGATCTTGGCCTCGTTACTTCCGTCGGTACGTGGCCAAGCAGATGTCAACCAGCCAGCGGTCTCAACGATGGATCGAAGAGGGCTTTGTTGTGCTTCATGAGGAAGAGTTGTACAGTGTCGTGGACTAGCATATGACCCTATTGACCGAGCAAAGTATCTCCTTGGTCACAGATCATCTATCTTGGCGTTCTGTACTGCCTACCTCTTACTTTAATTACAGCTATTTTAATAATGCTGCAATTATCACAAAATGTGAGACAAGATGAATTTGAGGATGAGGTGTCTCCTATACGATGCATAAGGCGGATCTTTATCATATGTCCCTCTCCCTAGGTGGCCGAGCATATGCAAAGAAGACTGCACACAGATAATTGAACTTTGTCCTTCATGTCTAATATTACGCAAGGATACATATCCTTAGTCCTTTTTTTTTTTTTTTTTTGCATGCCGGTTACTGGGTAACCGTGTCCAACTCCTCATCCACTAATATGTCTCTACTGACTCGTATAGGACCGTAGACTAAAGTTTTGGTCCATCTTGAATATGAAGCCGACGAGATACAAAGGGAAATTGCATGCCCATATCAACCCCATTTAATGTGGTACTTTTTCAAATCACTTCTGATGGATGCTACGGAGTCATTCTTCTAGCGTTTTATGTGAATGCAATGCTGGGATATAGAGAATAACAATGCCCTTTTGTCCGAGGTAGCTTGGAATTACGGCTTCTTATATTCTATGAATGTTGCTTGATACCTAAGATAAATTTTCCGACGCTTGGTCATTCATCTGGATAGGTATCCTTCCTCTGTATTTGCCATAGATTATGGTATGCCAGGCAACCTCTCACGCATTTTTCTCTTCTTACGTGATTGCAAAGGTTGAACCTCTGCTCAAAGGGTTAGCTGCCGAATTTCTGTCCTATTCCTGGATGTCCTGGAGCTGTATTAAGCTACATATTAAGTCTGTAGCAGATGTTCACTAGCCAGAGGGGTAATTACATTGATTAGCTGACAAAGGGGCCTCGAAGTTGTATTCGTTGATTAGATGGTTCTGTTCCTTAGTTCTATCAACATGACTGTGGGAAAGAAATCTCTTAAGAAGAATCACAGCGCTAGGACTAACTAGGCAGCATCAACATTAGCTTCAAGGGCCTTTCCTGTTAATCCCAGGATTTGAGGAATCAAACACATTCGTCTAGGAGAATTCAAATGTAAGATTAGAGATCTGATCAATTTACCCAGCGTAGTCTGATAGACCGGGTAGTTGGGACAGCATGTAGTCTATTTTCTTCCTGTGACAATATTACTAAAGGAGTCTAGCAAAGGTAATATATATATACATAGTTTTGGCCAAGACAATCTCCCGTTCCATAATCAAAGGTTTCCAAACCAGTCGGTCAGTTAGTAGTGAATCTAGTGATGACCTCACTGTAGCTACAGACAATCATTTGCAACAGGATATTATATTTACAATCTTGTAGCAAGTGAAAATTAGGATAGATCTTAGAAGTAACTGAAAAAATAGAATTTTAATACTATATAATCCCTCAGTTAGAACAACTAAGTATATACAACCATGGAGTATAGGTACCAGGGGCTACCTGTCTGATCAGCCATACTTAAGTCAAATGGTGGGAGGTTACTAGTTAAGTGGCCTCCACCGGTAGAATAGGAGTTGCAGTAAACCCCGTTAAAAGCAATTTTATATTGAGAATTAGACAGATCTATGAAATTTCCCGTTGTCGGGGCTGCTTATAGTGGAGTATTTACTGGAACATAATACCGTAAGATAGAGAAGATTTGGCTTACCATTTAGGACAGGTGGGCATTGGCTCTAGGTGTGAAAGCGTTGTTGTGGCCTGTAGAAAGTTTCTGTGTAAATTTATATAGAAGTAAGTCTAGTATTGGAAGCTGACAGGGAAGACTTAGGACTTTTAGCTTGGATTTTATTAAGGAGCTTGGAGTTCCCATAGTATTAGCAGTTTTCCTTGATCGTTAACGCTTTGTTGACATAATAAGTGCATATATATCCATGAGCAAAGCCATTACTTAACTATTTTACATTATTTTGACGTTAATGGAATAGGCAGATTGAAACGTCAGGCTCTACTGATCCATTCATGCCTCTGGCGCATGCAATCGAACAGTAACACCCTGCGCAGGAGCACTGGTCAAGGTCACGTTTTGTTTAATCTCTTTCTCCGCGTTAACATCTTGCATCCCATCAAACCGCTGGATCAAGCGAACAAGGACATATCCGGCCTCCGTCAGGGCCAACTGCTGTCCGATGCATACCCTTGGTCCCCCACTGAAAGGCAAATACCCCCATGATATTTTACGACCTTCCCACCGGCCAGGCTTGAAATCATCGGCATCGGGTCCCCAGATATCCTTACGCCGATGCATGGAATATATACCGACCATAATGAGCTGACCTTTGCGCACATAGATAGGTTGCCGGCCGTCACGACCGCCACCACGAGGGAGGGTAGTGTCCCTGGCCACAACACGGCGATTGAATGGTGCGACCGGATACAATCGAAGACTCTCATTTAGGCAATACTGTAGGTAGCTACAGGCTTTGAGGGATTCGAACGTGAGGTTGTTAGGGGTATCATAGGGACCGAAGGCTTTGAGAATTGCATGGCGGAGCTTCTGAAACTCGTCCGGATGACGAGCAAGAAGCAGGACGGTCCAGCCGAGCAGGGAAGAGGTGGTGTCGCGACCGGCGACGAGCAAGCTGAGAACATGGGTGCGGAGCTCAATAGGGTCTTGCGTGACGGCCGTCAATGCGTGGAGAAAGATATACTGAGGCGACCGCTTGGGGTCTGCCTGGAGCTTCCCTGCCTGATGGGCATTGATAGCATCCTGGACATATCGGTCCACGTATTTTTGAACTTCGTTTTCAGAAAATCGGGACTCCTGGTTATTGGCCAGCCAGTACAAACTCTCCAGGCGAACCCGTTTTCCAGCGTAATTTATGAACTTATCGAGATGGTGTGCGAAATCGGCCTCCCCCGTATTTTTACCGGTGGCGGCAGATATTTGGCTCTCAGTGCTTTTTCCGAAGAGAAACTCAGTCGCCGAATCAATGGTAAGCCGGCAGAAGATCTCCAGGATATCCAAGGGTTCGGTCCACTTCCCATTGGTCACTGGAATTGCTAGCATTGCCTGTTGCAGATGGCGTTCATAGAGATCTAGGTCACTGACCTGGCTGCGCGAAAACTGGGGACGTAGAATAGCGCGATGCCTCGCCCATTCCTCTCCGTCTGTAGTAATCTGTTCGCGCTATATTAACATTTCGGGATCAGGCAGAACAGACGATGACACCAACAGAGAGACTCACGATGCTGTTGCCGCCGAGCGGGCCAGGAAATCTCGACCTCAAGTCACCTGAGACGAAATCCTTAAACTGAGTGGCCCAAGCCGCTTGGATGTTTTCAGGATCGATGGTGAAGCAAGTCTCCCGACCCAAGATCGTCCACCCGCAGGTGGTCACATAGCGTCCTTCGCGCGCACTGATGTGCGCAATTCGACGCTCGAACATCGGACAAATCACATCGGCTTTGAGTGCCGTCAAGCCCTCCTTGAGAAGACCAATCCCTAATAGGTCACTAGGGTAGGTGGGAAATGGGGCACATCCCCATCGGCGGGCTCTTTGCCCATGCTGAAATTTGGCGGCCAGCGTCCAGAGCAAGCGGAGAACCACCACTGCTACGACAGATATCGAAAGCAGAGATGCCATACCCAAAGAACAGACGACGTACAGAGAGGTCGCTTTGCTTGATACTACAATGCAAGTTAAGAATCGATAGACCGGAACTCATGGGAATGCGAGTTGGTCGAACGATTTTGATATATTGTGGTCAAAAGGAAAGACGCAAGGGGCTTCAAAATGCTATACTTACCTGATGATTACACATAAACGAGTCTAAGGATGGGACTGGATTGAACTCAGCTACGTATTAGTAGTAGCGGTGTGATTTTCAACAATGGTCCAAGGGGCCACGTCATATTCGCCATAAATGCATCCCTTTCTGCAGCCCACTTGCAAGGGGCTCATACCAGGTCAATATCAGCCCAATAGAGAATTTCAATTGAATCGTACAAAAGTCCGGCCTATGGACTACAATTTGTATCAAAGAACAAGCCTGACATCGAGCATATGTTGCTCTCATCTCTCTTATATTGAATGTGAGTTCCTCTAACGGGGTGTATATAGCGCAGTATGCACAACCAACTCTCCATGGCTTATAGACTGGTCAGGCCCATTGTTATTAATCTAGCCCATAAAAATAGGGAGGGAATGTTCAAGTAATTATAAGTTGAAACGATGCTCACGCGTGTCGATAGATTAGCTTTTCACTCGACCTGAACACCTTCTGTGTCCCTCAGAGCCCACACGCCTCCTCGAACCATCGTCCCTTATTCATACTCAGGAAAAGTCACATATATCAATGGCCAAAACCAATGCCATGTCGCGGTTTCACCCGTTCATCCTCATTGACCTCCCTTACCGCGTCATCAATAATCAGTCCCTGGAAGCGACAATTTTAATACCCAACAACTTATATGACCGCTCTCGTCACAAGGAAAAGCGTCCCGTGATGGTGAGGTTCCATGGCGGAGGCTTCATTCTAGGTCAACGCAACTATGAACCCTGGTTTTCTCGATGGTGCCTCGACCTCGCATACGCAAACGGCGCTATCATCGTCTCTCCTGACTACCGACTCCTCCCCGAATCCAACGGGGCAGATATTTTGAGCGATATAGACCACTTCTGGCAGTGGATTCAGAGAGATTTGGTAGACATTGCTGAAGAACGGCGGTGGGGCGTTATCCCCGACCTCTCACGCGTGTTATGTTGTGGAGAGAGCTCAGGAGGTTGTTTGGCAGTTTACTCGGCCTTGGGGTTGTCTTCTATATTATGCAGAGACTCTATGTCAAGAGTTAATGCCAGGGGGAAAGAAGCGAAGCCAATAACAATCAAAGCCGTTATATCCATTTCATCGCCCCTGGATCCAAACGTGCCAGAATTAAGGATCCCTCGACCCCGGAAATTCATGGGGACAAAGGCACCACCCCCAAGACAAGCCGAGGGCTTGATTCGCAACTACATCAAAAATATGAGACCAGGATCAATTAGGACGGGGCAGAACCCTACCCTCGATATGTGGGAATTGCTACTGTGTATTTTACAGCAGTGCTACCTGCCCAGGCTCATAAAGGGGAACGGGGACAAGGACATGTTCGGATTGCTCATGGGGTTGTTGAAGAAAGAAGAAAAGTCAGCAGACGCAGGAATTCCGACTTGGGTTATCCACGGAACCGAAGACACGCTGGTATGTTCTATTTTCCTTTCCAGCCTCGCTACATTTTGTTAACAGTAGAGTGCGACACATTTAGATCCCACATATTTGTTCAACTAAGTTTGCAGAGCGACTGAGGGAGCTTGCACCGGTAAGGCTTGACTTGCAACCTGGGGACCATATGTTTGAGGTCGATATGAGTATAGATGAAAAGTGGATTGCAGAGGGGAGGGAATCATTCCTGGAAAGGTACTGGCCTTGATATGCGAGTCGGAGGCAACATGACAGTTAGTATCTCGGCTACCTGACCATCTGCACATGGTAAACATGCTTGCATGTCCATGAGTGACCCGGTATGCACAACAATACCTCCGCCATTTCAAGACAATCGTGGGATCCCTTACTTGGGCCTTCTCCTTGTATTTTGTGCCCTGTAGCTATACTGGAGAGAGCCCTTTACCTTTAGCGAGAGCTAACATACCAGGTTTAAATATGGTAACTTAATTCATGGCGATAACCTTCCATATTCTATCTATATGAATCGTCATCAGGAAGTATTGCCCGAGCGCACGATTAGTAGAATCGTTAGAGGATGGACAGGACCGCCTTGCCGCAAATTAAGCTCAAGGGCCTTACGTGGTAAATATCTGATCGCCGAGTAGACGCAAGGGATATAATCGGTATCCACCTGCTGCAATACGCAGGAGATATGGCGGCCTGTGTGTGGGTGGCTCAATGCTAACTCGCCATTGCTGGGTTAACCATTCCTTACGTATGTGGACTATCATTTACCTCTGCTGCGCCTGGTATCTCAACAAAGGGCGGTGATGTGGCATCCCCTTGAGCTTGCGTATGGTCTTTTAAGTTGCCTTTTGAGGCGGTGTGAGTGGACTTGAAAATATCATGGTCGCAAGAAGATATGCATGAATTTTCCGAGGAAATTGTTCCTTTAAAGTCCTCTTAGGTTTATATAAGGCTTGTGCGCTCCCCAATCCTTCGGTGGTCGTGCCCAAATCGACATCGAACGGAGCCCTCGATCCATTCAACATGCACCAACCTTTGGATGGCGACCTAAATGGTCTCTTGAATAGTTCTCTGTCGAATGGCCATGGCCAGGATACGTGTACAACTGGCGGCGTGGATCTGGCATCCACGGCCGGCAGACTAACACCTGAGCCGATGTCTCGCTCTACTGTCCCTATCGCCATCTGTGGAATGGGGATGCGATTACCGGGCGGTATTCGAGACGATGAAGCCTTGTATGACTTCCTCATCAACAAGAAGGATGCACGCTCCTCCACCCCCTCCAACCGATACAATGCCGATGCATACTATAGTCCACACGGCAAACCCGGTACCATTATCACCAAGCATGGTTACTTCCTTAATGACACCGACCTTTCAAAGTTCGACCCTTCCACCTTCAGTATCACCGCCGCCGAAGCAGCTCAATTGGATCCCAGCCAACGGTTAGTCCTCGAGGTGGTTCGTGAGGCATTGGAGAGGGCGGGCGAGTCGAACTGGCGTGGGAAGAAGATTGGGACATACGTGGGTCTGTTCTCAGAAGACTGGCAGGATTTGCATCACAAGGACGTGAATTTCTACGATCCATATACCCTAATCGGTGTACTTGACTTTGCCATCGCCAATCGAATTTCCTACGAATACGATCTAAAAGGTCCTAGGTAGGTTGACTCGATCCACTGCGGTCAACCGATTGGTATTGATGAAGTATATAGTATTATGGTTAAGACTGCCTGTTCGTCAGCTGGGATAGGATTACATGAGGCCATACAGGAGATTCAGCGAGGTTCCATTACATCGGCAATTGTTGCTGGTGCCAACCTGATAATGTCACCTGGAATGACAGTCGCTATGAGTGTTCAGGCGGCTCTGTCTCCTGAAGGCTCGTCCAAGTCCTTTGACGCCGAGGCAGATGGTTATGCTCGAGGCGAAGCCGTGACAGTGTTATATATCAAGCGCCTGGACGAGGCCATCCGAGACGGAAACCCCATACGGGCTGTCATCCGAGCATCCGCCAGTAATGCTGACGGGAAGACGGCCGGGGTTACCAATCCAAGTGCTGAAGCTCACGAAGCAGCAATTCGTGAAGCGTATGCCATCGCAGGTCTTGACCTTTCTCGGACTGCTATGGTAGAGACACATGGCACTGGCACGCTGACAGGCGATCCGATTGAGGCCAAGGCGATTGCAAATTGTTTTGGGAAGGATGGGGTATACATGGGCGCGGTATGTGTCTTCCTTCTATCAACCCCACCCCCCTCCCTGTGGCGACATTGCACTCGTCCATACATTCTGACATTTCCTCAGGTGAAACCCAACCTGGGTCATAGCGAAGGTGCAGCGACCATCACGAGTCTGATCAAGGCGGTATTGTCTCTGGAGCACCGGACGATCATTCCAAACATCAAGTTCCATACACCAAATCCTGCAAGTACGTGAATTTCGCCATCATTTAGCAAGTTCGCTACTAACAACCATAGTCCCCTGGAAAGAAGCAAAGCTAGCTGTCCCGGTCGACCCCTGTCCTTGGCCTGCTGACCGTGCGGAGCGACTGAGTGTAAACTCATACGGAATCGGTGGCTCCAATGTCCACGTAGGTTGATAGTATTCCAACTTATCACCTTTTTCTCATCTCACGCGAGCTTCCAGTTTATTCTCGATTCCGCGGCCTCTTTTGGATTGGGCGTTCCACAGCCTGCCCCACCTTCAACCAAAACGCGCAAGCAGAAGAAGACGGTCCTGGTATTCTCTGCCGGACATCCAGAGTCTGCGAAGGTCATGGTGAAACGTCACCAAGAGTATCTGTCCAAATTCCCCGGTCGGTTGGATGCTGTCGCGTATACTCTATCTCATAGACGAGAGCACTTAAAGTATAGAGCTTTCTGCGTGACCAATGGAATGGAGCCACTCCCAGAGTCAACGCCTGTCCCTTGTCGAAATTTGAAGCAAACGGCCTTCGTATTTACAGGACAGGGAGCGCAATGGTGGGTATCATCGGCATGCTTAAGCTCTTGTCATGAATATAATGGCTGACAGAATCAGGGTTCATATGGGACGCCAACTCATGGCCGATTATCCAGCATTTCTGGCCAATATACAATCGATGGATAGAATTCTACAAGGCTTTGAGCATGCACCTTTGTGGTCAATGGAAGGAATGCCGTCATTGATTTCTTTATGGAACCGGGCCCTGACTAACATAATCCAACAGATGTCCTTTGTCATTCTGATGACAAACGCATACTTTCACGAGCAGAGTGCGCCCAGCCAATCTGCACTGCCCTCCAGATCGCTCTGGTCGACCTTTTATCATGTTGGGGGGTCAGGCCCTCGGCAGTTGTTGGTCATTCCAGTGGTGAGATTGCCGCTTCCTATGCAGCAGAGTGTCTGACAAAGGAAGAAGCGATGGCCATCGCTTTCTATCGTGGATATGCTTGCAAGAACCCCCCAAGAAGGGGTGGAATGGCAGCTGTTGGGTTGGGGAGAGCAGAAGTATCTCGCTTTCTTGCCCCTGGTGTAAATGTTGCGTGTGAAAACAGTCCGTCCAGTGTCACGTTGGCTGGAGATCTCGACATGCTGGAAAAGATCATTGACGATATCAAAGAGCACGACGATGAGATCTTCGTAAGAAAGCTACAGGTGGAAACGGCATATCACTCCGGTATGTCCCGTCATCTTGCCCTTGTTCTGTTAAGCTATGCAATTTTGGATCGCATCCGTTCATCACAGTGGATTCTAACATTCCAGACCATATGCGCCTTATCGGAGGGGCCTACTGCGGGCTTATCAGAGAAATGATTGATCCTCGCTCACCCAAGGTCCCATTTTACTCTAGTGCTGAGGGAGGAAAGGTTCTTTCCAAGGCGTTTCAATTTGGCCCTAGCTACTGGCAGCACAATCTGGAGAATCCTGTTCTATTCTATGATGCTGTCAGGTCGATGCTTTCTAATTGCCCTCAGATGGCATTGTTGGAGGTTGGGCCACACTCCACTCTGCGTGGCGCCCTGCGCCAGATCTCGCAGAAGATATCTATTCCTGTGCAATATATATCCACTCTATGCCGTGGTGAAAATGATACCGACTCGTTCCTGAATGCGATAGGTCAGCTTTACACAGCAGGGGTGCACATCTGTGTTCCTACCGATCCGGTGCACTCGGTGGTATTGACTGACCTCCCGACATATCCCTGGCACTACGAGCGAGAATATTGGTCTGAAACAAGGGTCATGAAGAACTGGAGGTTCCGCAAGGATCTTCCGCATGATTTGCTGGGCGTGCGTACTCTTGAGGGAGCAGATCTGTCTCCAACCTGGCGGAACGATCTCCGCATTGTTAACGTTCCCTGGCTAAGCGAGCACTGTTTGGGGAATGATATTGTTTTTCCAGCTGCAGGATACATCGCGATGGCTGGTGAGGCAGCTTTCCAGCTTAGTGATGGTAGCAAGCGGGACTACAGTTTGAAAAGCATGGAGCTTAAACAGGCATTGATACTTCATGAGGACAAGCCTATCGAACTTGTTACAACCCTTCGCCCCCAGCGGCTAACAGCAAGCACTAATAGCGACTGGCTTGAGTTCCAGATCGTGTCGTTCGACGGGGAGAAGTGGATGGAGCACTGCTTCGGCCTAGTTCGAACAGGTCTTGCGTCTTCTCGCCCTTCCTCATCTAAAAATATTCCTTTGGCGCTTCCCAGGAAAGTCTCTTCACCCCGGTGGTATGAGACGATGTCCCGGGTTGGACTGAAATATGGACCTCGGTTCAGTGGGCTACGAGATATCACAGCAAGCGTCACGGAGACGAAAGCAGTCGCAGCCATGTTTGACAATCCCGGAGAGCAATCCGAATCATCATATGTGCTGCACCCTTCAACTCTCGATATGGCCTTCCAAACTTGGACAGTAGCCTCAGTGAAGGGTGATTACCGTTCATTCAGAGACCTTGTAATGCCAACATTTATCGAGGAAATGTATGTGTGTGGGGGCACCAAGCAGAAAATTCACATCAGTGCTACAAGCAATGGTGGCACGGTGCCCCAGGGCCATTCATGCGGTATTGATGAGAACGGAGAACTGGCCTTCCTTCTGAAAAGGTTTACTGGTTCCCGGTTGGAGCCAGACGAAACTGGCCAAGACTTGACTGCTTTATCATTGCATTGGAAGCCAGCCTTCGAGTTCCTCAATAGCGGCGACCTGACACGCCCGATATACGATATCCGAGAGCCGCTTGCTCTCCTAGAGAGGCTCTATCTACTTTGTGCAGTGGAGTCAAACAAGGCATTGCAGGGTGTTACGGCCACTCAACCGCATTTCGAGCGGTATCGAAAGTGGCTTTCGACTCAATGCGGTCGCTTCATCCAGCCCGGCTATATTCTTGTCGATGACTCGGTGGATTTAGTCAACATGTCCTCGGAGAAGCGTGTCAAGCTGATTTCGACTGTATTCCAGCAGTGCGAGAACGCCGGCTGTGGACCAATTGCAACTGCTATTTGGCGGACGTACAATCAAGTGGTCAACGTTTTCGAGGGTAACACTGACTTTCTGGATCTGCTGATTCATGATGGTACACTGTCCGCTATATACACTTGGATGAATGACGTGTGGGATGTAAGCGAGTTCTTCCAATTACTCGGCCACATGCACCCACAAATGAAGATCTTAGAGATTGGGGCTGGCACTGGTGGGCTCACCGGGAAGGTTCTTGAACAACTCCGGTCGGAGTTTGGAGAGCGGTTATACCTTCAGTATACTTTTACTGACGTGTCATCTGGCTTCTTCCCGACTGCGATGGAGAGATTCAAAGAGTATGACGCCATTGAGTACAAAGTGCTTGATATTTCCAGAAACCCGTTGGAGCAGGGCTTCAACCGCGAAGAATATGATCTTATCATAGCGTCCAACGTAAGTATTCTAAAGTCGTCGCAGGCGTATTGTGCGCGTTCCAAATTTGCTAAACTTGACCTAGGTTCTACATGCAACACCATTTCTCCATGACACGCTTGTCCATGTTCGGAGCCTGTTAAGGCCGCAAGGCCGGCTTTTTTTGCAGGAGCTGTCTCCGAGTAAGTCGCTGCTTTTTGAAATCAATGGGACAACTTCCAGGCTAACAGCAGTAGTGATAAACGGCATTGGTTATATTATGGTGAGACCAACCCGGAAGCGATAGGAATATAGTCAAGGTTAACTCTACTCAGGGCCTCTTTTCCGGCTGGTGGCTCGGCGAAGCTGACGGTCGTATTGATTATCCTTTCATTTCCCCCGAGCAATGGGATACAAGGCTACGCGCTGCAGGTTTCGGTGGATGTGAGACGGTGACGTTTGACAACGAGCGGCCTTATCAAGTCAATGCGAATATCATTGCAAGGCCAGCAGTCCATTTTGAATACCCAACAACCATCACGCTTCTGTCAGGACCGGCTCGAATTCACCCGTTGTCACTTCGGGTAGAGGCACTATTACGAAGCCGTGGCTACCAGACTCAGCACTGCCAGTGGGGACAGAAAGAGCAACCCCCTGCTGGACAGGATGTCATTTCATTCGTCGACCTAGAACAACCTTTCCTAAAGGAACCGATCGAAGCCGACTGGAATCGGTTCCTTCAGCTAATCCAGTCCTTGGACCAGGCCGCGGTAGTCTGGCTTACATCTCTGGCGCAAGTTAAATCGAAGGATCCTCATGCAGCCCTGATTCTTGGAATGGCTCGAACAATTCGTTCAGAGCTTGCCATACCGCTGGCCACCCTCGAACTTGAACATCATGACTCCGCTGGCGCAGCTGATGCAGTAGTAAACGTGACCAAACATGTCCAGAAAACCAAAGACGATACGAGCGATCTCGACCCAGATATGGAGTTCTCCTGGATCAGCGGCGAAGTGCATGTTGGACGGTTCCACTGGTTCGCAGTAGAAACGGCATTGAAAGAGGAAGCGCCCCCAGCCGATACTAAAGCCTTGGCGATTGGCAAACGAGGCTTGTTGCAGTCTCTGCATTGGTGTGGACGACAGCTGCCGGAGCTCCCAGCCGATCAAGTCCAGATCGAAATGAAAGCGGTCGGCCTGAACTTCAAGGATGTCCTCGTTGCTATCGGTATCGTCGATAGCGGCTCGGGTGACGCCGTTCTGGGCGTCGAGGGTGCCGGATATGTCAGGAAGGTTGGCGCGGGCGTCAACCACATTCGAGTTGGAGACCGAGTGATGACCCTTGGAGCTGACTCAACTGGTTTGGCAACACAGGTTCAACGATATGGCAGCTGTGTCGTGCCCATACCTAGCCATCTCAGCTTCGAAGACGCTGCAACTATGCCCGCAGTGTATACCACGGTTCTACTGAGTCTGGTTGACAAAGCGCGTCTCGAAAAGGGGCAGTCTATCTTGATCCACTCAGCTGCAGGTGGAGTAGGGATCGCAGCCATTCGAGTTGCCCGTTGGATCGGGGCAAACATCTACTGCACGGTTGGCTCAGAGAAAAAAGCAACTTTCTTAGTGGAAGAACTGGGCATCCCACGCGATCGAATTTTCCATTCTCGAGACATTAGTTTCCGAGACAACCTAATGGATGCCACCAATGGGGCCGGTGTTGACTGCGTGCTCAACTCACTCGCTGGTGAGTTGCTGCACGCCTCGTGGGAGTGCGTAGCGTCATCGGGTTGCTTGGTCGAAATCGGGAAACGCGACATGATCGGCCGGGGCCAGTTGGCTCTCGATAAGTTCGAAGACAACCGCACATATATGGGAATCGACCTTACCAAGTATGTTGCGATCAACAAACCTGGTACCGCGAGGTTGATGCGGCTGATGGTCGAGCTTTGTTCTGAGGGTCACATCACGCCGATCCATCCGATCACTTCCTTTGCTGTAGATGAAGTCGAAGAGGCCTTCCGGTACATGCAGCAAGGAATCCATATTGGAAAGGTGGTGATCAAGTTGCCTGACACCGAGACCTCACTCCCCTGGACTCCTGAAACGCCTACGCCGTCCTTCCGACACGATCGAGCCTATCTCCTAGTGGGCGGGATGGGAGGCCTAGGACAAGCTATCGCTAGGTGGATGACAACCCACGGCGCCAAGCATATTATCTTCCTATCGCGCTCAGCGGGCACATCCGAGGAAGATAGATCCTTCATTCAAGAGCTCAACCTTATGGGCTGTAAGGTGCAGGCCTGGGCAGGCGACGTCAGTGATCCCGCCGTAGTGAAAAACGCAATCGACGAGGCGCCAATGCCCATTGCTGGCGTCATGCAAATGGCCATGGTGCTTCATGACGTCGGAGCCCTTGACATGGATCTCGAAGCGTATCAAAAAGTCATCCGACCCAGGGTGAAAGGGACCTGGAATATCCACAACGCGCTACCAAACGAGGAACTCGAGTTTTTCGTGTTGTTCTCGTCTGCTTGTGGCATGGTGGGATACTATGGGCAGGCCAATTATGCCGCGTCGAACACCTTCCTCGATGCCTTCGCTCAATATAGACATAACCTTGGGCTGCCAGCGTCAGTCATGGATATCGGGGCCGTCAACGATGTTGGGTACATTAGTCGCACCCCAGCAGCCAAAGATGGTATGCTCGCAAGCGCAGGGCATTTGATCACCGAGCAGGAGTTCCTTGATACTCTCCAGCTTACCATCGCCCGATCATCCAAGCCGCCAAGTTCTTCTCCCGCCCGACCGAAGGCACCTGGCAGCCGGGGGATTCATTTCAACAACCCAAGCCAGGTTGTTCAAACCCTGGAATGCAGACTGCCCATTATGCACCCTGAGAACAACATCATCTGGAAGCGCGATCCTCGGATGGCTATCTATCGAAATATCGAGACGGTCTCCGTGCAGTCTCAGTCAACGAGCAGCGGCCTCAAGTCATTCCTCCTGGACGTCAATGCAGACCCAAGTCTTCTCAGCCAGCCGTCGGCAGCAGAGTTCCTTGCCGGACAAATCAGGGACCGCGTGGCCACATTCTTAATGCGGAGAGAGGATGACGAGCCATTGGACCTCGGGCTATCGCTTTCGGAGTCAGGCGTCGATTCGCTAGTGGCAATTGAAGTGCGAAATTGGTGGAAGCAGAGCCTTGGGGTGGAGGTATCAGTGTTGGAGTTGAAGGACAGTGGATCTATGTTGCGGCTGGGAGGGTTGGCGGCTAAGAGATTGAGGGAGAAAATGGCCGATAAACCATTATGATGTTGTTACTACATGAGAGACTAAGACTGCTATAGACTGTCCATATGTACATCGCTCTATGAATGCCTACCTTTCTATTTTTTACCTCCACTGCGATAACAGCGTTTGCCTAAGTAAACAGAACCCTAATGAACAAACAGCCCGCCACTTGCAACAATATGCGCTCCATTCATTCACCTCGCACACTCTCTATACGGGAACCCGACGGGATTCGCAATTTAATCTCCCCGAGTTCTGCCATCCTGGGTCCCACAGGTGTGGCGCCGATACTTGGCTGGAGAATCTTCATCTGCTCCTCTCCGGCGCTTAGGCAAATCAAAGGTGTTGGTGGGACCCGGGCTCAAAGTATTCACGGTACATCCGTATCTACAGAGGAGTGCTTTTGCCCTTTAGATTTTACCATTAGTTCCAAACAAGGCCAAGGCATGAGGAGAGAGTAAGGGAGTGAGGTAGGGTAACGAAAGGGCACGCATACCAACACCGCGTGAAAGAATCAGCCTTACCCTTCGTACACCAGTATAAAGCTCTCTTAACAGTCCCATTTCTGGTACAAAGCTTATTATAAGGCTATGCTTTGGTTCTACTCTTAATATTATCAGGAGACCTACCTTAAGTTCAAGCTCTTATCCTGCTAAAACTTCTATTATTCCAACTATTTAGATAATAACAATCCCGCTCACAGTAGCATACCCAGGAAGCACCAGTGCAGGATCTATAAAACTGTTACGGGGGATCGACTATAGCCTGTGAGCTAGGCAAGGATACGCTGGCAAGAAGGTAGGGGAGTGTCTGTCACTCACTGAGTAGAACGACTACAAAAGTAACTAATTCTTGTCCCTGTTCTTCCTGTCCATTGACCTCCTTAGATAGCTTAGAATCCTCCCCGTTTTGGTAAGCCTTGGTGATCATAAAGAAGACTGAATAGTCAGGTGACATCTTATTAGGTTTGTTTTGAACTAAAAAGGAGACCAAGATCTATGTACGAGAAGCTAGGACTAGAGGGGCCCGGGCACTCTGGAGGGTACGCGGGCCGATTCTGTATCGGATCCATGACAAGAGATGTGCTCAATGTACAAACATCGTCTGCTGGAATAAGGCGGTATGTAGCCCTTCTTTTCTCTGTTGAGTTGCTTCTTTGTTTTACACGGCCTCCTTGCGCTCATGGCAATATTGTTGTAGAAGCCTATCTGGGGCTAAATATATATATAGATGTACCTAAGGCAATATATCTTTCAATAATAAAAGGGTTTCTAGTAAACCAGTCCATTATCGCTATGCAATAATCTTACTATAGCTACAGATTGCCTTTTCTAACAATTCTTTATATCGACAGTCTTATCATGAGTGAGAAACAATATAGAAATGACTAAATAACAAATTCCTAATACGATATAGTTCTCCACAGATAAAAGAATAGTACATACGACCATAGGGTGTGGAAAACAGGGCTTCCCGTCCGCTCAGCCGTACTTAAGCCACACGCCGGGAGGTTAGTAGTTGGGTGGGTGACCACCAGCGAATCCCTCCTGTTGTATGTTTTTCTTTTTACTTTTTGTTATTTTTTGCCCTTCTGATACTTTGTTTTCTCCCCGTTTTCCTTCCCCGCTATTATAACCCCCGCACGTTCGCATATCATCTGCCCATGCCTTTTTTCATATACTGAGAAACCCCGTTAGTTGCAAGGATAGTAGCCAAAAATTCGCCTTGCAACTAACGGGGTATTGCAACTAACAGGGTTTTTACTATAATTGGCCGGTAGGCTCACTGCCTGCAATACCACTAAATAGAATATATATATATATAGAAAATAAAGCTATTCAGAATATAGAATATTTCTATACACACTTATCCTAGTAGATCTACTGCCTATATAACTTATACTTTTTAAAAAGTGAGTCCAGAGTAATTATATACCCTGTTAACTCAGTGGTCTAAACTACTATATATATAGAAAGCTGATAATATATAACAGATACTACCGCTGAATAACTAACTTCTACAGGTTTTGGCTTGCAGATGGACAGAGCCAGTCTGATTTCTGGACAGTGAGGCGACAGGGGTATTATTTTTTTATTGTTTGAGTGTCCTGGGAGTATTGATAAGATATCTAGAAATATTGACAATATAGACAAGAGCTGATTTTGAACCGGTACTTTTTTAATGTGTAGACTGTATAATTAATAACTAAGTAGATAACTAAGCGGGCCCCGGGATATTAACCGTAGAATATATATATATCAGTCTGATATTGATACTTGATTTTCTTCTGTATAAGTATTTTTTTATAGTATATAAGTAACTGAATAAACTCTGTGTTACTCTCAATCTATTACTTTTTAAAGAGTCGGAGTTTATAAAAACTTTCCAAAACTTCAGAGACAGATATTAAGAGAAGAAATTTATAGAATTTATCTTTATTTTTAAACAGCTCACTGCTAGATTTATACTAAATTAGAATAGTATTATTAATGTCCAGAATACTATTATTAACTGTTTCTTTTACAGGATTAAGAAACTGATTAATATCTATCAGTTCTTTTATATAATTTATAAAATATAGCTGTTAAAATCTATTTTTAATTTCTTTGGTAAATTTCTAATTAGTAATTTATTAAGTATCTTTAATAGTAAAAGCCTTCTGAAAGCAGTTTTTAATAGTATTATTTTATATCTTAAGATTAGAGTGGCATAACCTAACCGCTGTAACCTAGCCATAACCTAACCTAATCGGCCTTGATTAGATTAAGATATAAAATTCCTTAACTAATATTAATTAGATTAGATTAAGATTAATTAATCTCTTAACTACAGTTAACTATAGATTAGAATAGATTAAATTATAGTAATTAGTAGAGTGGCATAACCTAACCGTTGTAACCTAGCCATAACCTAACCTAACCGGGGCCGGTTAGGTTAAGGTATAAAAATATTTAACCGATCTAGGTTAAGGTTAAAACTAGGTTAACCGCGGTTAACCTAGTTCTGCCTGATAAGGCTACAAGGCACCAAACTAAGCCTGTTCTAGTAGGCGGTAGGTTAGGGCTATTTTCTACCGGCAGTATTTTAAGTAACCCTAGTTTACCGCCTGCCTAAATAGATCTAGTTGGCCGCCTCAGGCAGAACTAGGTTAACCGCCGGTTAACCACAGACGGTACAATATATATATATAACCTAGCCATAACCTACCGGTTAGGTATACCTGACCCCATTAACCTAACCTAACCTAGCCAAACGCCAGTCTAGTA